CATTGCGGTAATGATGGCTGCAGTGCTGGGGGAGGGGGGATGTCCCTGGGGACACGGGGATCTGGGAGTCCCAGAGGATCCCAGCAGTCCAGGGGAGTCTCTGTCCCAGCCTGTCAGACTGTGTTGGTTCAGGGTGGATCCAGATCCCAGTTTGGGATCAGGGATGGAAACAGTGTCCAGCTGGATCCCTGTGCCAGACTCCAGTGCAGGATCCCATTGCTGGATCCTCCTGCCAAATCCAAATCCCGGGTCTGGTTGCTGGTTCCTGGTGCTGGATCTCATTGCCAGATTTTGGTGTGGAGTCCCGGTGTCAAATCCTGCTACTGGATCCAGTGTTGAATTCCAGGGCCACGTTCTTGAGCGCTAAAACCTAGGCTCAGGTGGTTTGGTTGGGTTAAGATCCCTTGGGAAGAAGGACTTGGGGCTGGAGCAGGAGCTTGACTCAGTGTTTCTTATTGAACTTGAGATGGTCCTTGAAAGAAGGACCTGGGTTTTGGATGGCCGTGGCAAGGTGTGGGCAGGGTGGTACCAGCTGGTTCTTACCATGGCCCATCACTCTGTGTCCAGAGATGGGAATGGAGCTGGGGGAGGGTCTGGAGCACCAGGAGCTGCTGGGGAGGCTCAGCCTGGAGAAAAGGAGGCTCAGGGGGGCTCTTCTGGCTCTGCACAACTCCTGACAGCAGGGGACAGCCGGGGGGGGTGTTGGGCTCTGCTCCCAGGGAAGAGGGACAGGATGAGAGGACCCAGCCCCAAGCTGTGCCAGGGGAGGTTTAGATTGGATATTGAGAAAATTTCTTCATGGAAAAGGTGGTCAGGGAGGTGGTGAAATCACCATCCCTAGAAGTGCTCAAAACCACGTGGATGTGGCACCTGGGGGCGTGGGTTAAGGGTGGACCTGGCAGCTGAGTGGGTGGTTGGACTCAATCTTGGTGGGCTTTTCCAACCTCAAAAACTCCGTGATCCTGTGACCTCCATCCACGTGCTCACCTCCCCCTTTCCCTTCAATCCCAGCAACTCTGTGGCTCCTACGTCTTCATCATCTTCACGGTGCTGCTCGTGCTCTTCTTCGTCTTCACCTACTTCAAGGTGCCGGAGACCAAAGGCCGGACCTTCGACGAGATTGCCTCGGGCTTCCGGCAGAGCGGGGGCGGCCAGAGCGACAAGACCCCGGACGAGTTCCACAGCCTGGGCGCTGACTCGCAGGTGTAACCTGGACCCCCGGCGCCACCGCCCCCCGAACCCGGGGGGACTTTTTAAACACTTTGTACAGACCCCAGGCAGGAGGGAGTGGGGAGGGGTCTGGCGTCAGTGCCCCCTCTCCAGCCTCCCCCAGTGGTTTACTGGGGACAGACTGACCTATTTTATTTTATTTTATTTTTTTTTTCTGCTAGGAACGAATTTTATTTAATTTTTTTAGTTGGTTTCGCGTCCAAGATTTCAAAGCCAATAGGTGTTTTAAAACCCAGCCATGCAGCCCCCACCAGCAGGAGGGCAATTCCCTGTTTTTTATTGACGACGCGATAGTTATTTAAAGGAAAATCATGTAGAGGAAGTTTTTAAAAAGCTGGAAACTTATTTTTTAACATTCTAATCATAGAGGAAAAAAAAAAATCACGTAAATTGACTAAATCTAATATTTTTTTAAAAAAAACTACCGAGAAAATGAGTCATTTTTTTAAAGTCTCCTTGATTTCAAGCCCTGCGGTGGGTTCGTGGACGGGGACCTCCCGCCCGGGGCAGCGCGGAGGACGGAGCCGTCCGGATGGATCGGTTGGAAAGGTCAATCCAGTTGTCACAGGCTCCTCTCCTTTCGCCTGAATTCCAGCTGGGAGGGGAAAACGGGAGAGGGGGGATGTGTTCTTGTTGAATTTTGGGATTAATCTTGGCAATATTTGCCCGACAGTGAAGCGCCAGCGGCAGCCGCACACGACAACATCCCCCTCCATCACCACCCCCATCCCAGGACTCACCAAAATCCAGCACCGCATGGATACAGCCGTTTCCTGCTCTGTGTATAGACTGGAAGATATTTATATTATATATATTTTTGTTCAATGGTTGTTAATAGTAGACATTTAAGTTATAGCGTTTCTGATTTGACAAGCCAAGTACTGTAAATATTCTTGGAGTATATTCACACTGTATAATGCATACAAAAGGTACAGAAAAAGGTTATAGTTTCTATAGCAACTAAGAAAAAAAAAAGCTTGTACATGGTTAGGATTACTTTTGTATAGTTCTGCACTGTAGTTGTATCTATTGCACTGAATTTCAGGCTGTAGTATATTAAAAAAAATACACATGAGAAATACTGTCCTTTTCAAACAAATCTGAAAACACACACAAAAAAAAAAAGCATTTCCCTGAGTGCAGCTGGTGTGGGAGCTCCTGGCACATTCCCAAAGCCACAGGGAGGGTTGTTTTTTTGTTTGTGTTGTTTTTCTGTTGTTGTTTTTTTTTTTTTTTTTTAATAGTATCTTTTTTAAAATGTATTTGTTTGGTTTGGAAGTGATGACACTTGACCACACGTGAAAGAAAATAAAATGGGGGGGGAATAAAATAAATCTCTTTAAAAATGCCTGTTCTCAGCTGGTTGTGGCACAGCCTCACCAAGCTGTGGGGGTGTGTGTGTGGTTTTTTAAGCAAATCCCTGCAGTGAAGTGCCAAGGGGAAGGTGTGTGGTGTGAACAATAAAGGAGAATGTGAGCAGCCACCCCTCTCTGGTGTCCTGTGCCTTTATTTCTCGGAGCCAAACTTTCCCTGGCCGGGCAGGGGTGGGGGGGGTGTCTGGGAGTGCGTGTCCCTGCAAAGCTTTTCCACCACGGGAACGACTCACCTGCTTGCAAAATACCTGCTCTGGGTGTACAACCAGCTTTTAATTGCCTAGAGCAGCCTGGGCTGGGAGCACGGGGGGACCTGGCTGGGGCTGTCCTGCCCCGTGGATCCCAAACCTGCTCCCCTTGCCCAGGACAGAGCCCTGGTCATGCCGTGAGCACCTGAGGGAGGGAGGGAGGAGGTTGCTGCAGCTCCATAGATTTGGTTTTTTTCCCTTCCAGCTGAGAAGGTGCCAAGAACTGCAAGCCTGAACACTTTCAGGCAAAGAAATGCTGATCTTGGTCACTTCAGGCTTTTTTCTATTTATTGAAGCAGCTCTTTGCCCTGCAGGGCACGGCTGTTGCAGGAATCACTCTTGTAGTGTCTTAAGAGCTCCCCAGAATGTTCTTTCTGTGCCCAGGGCTCCTCTCCTCCCTCTACTCTTTTGTTCCTGGCTCCAGGAGATGCTCAGCCCTGCACAACCTTCATTTCTAGGCTGGGTTTGTTTTGTTGAACATTCGGAGCAGCCACACGGCCCTGCAGGCTCAGCCTGGGAGCACTGGAAGGATTACAGCCAAGACCAAGCTCCAAATCCCTGGTGACCCAAATCCTTGTGCCCTGGGGCACTGTGCCAGCAGGCACAGTTCCCCAGCATCCCCCACCCCATGGTGGTGATCGTTCCAGCATCCCCCACCCCTCAGAGATGATCATTCCAGCCCCTTCCAGCATCTTCCATCCCATGGCAGTGATCATTCCAGCCCCTTCCAGCATCCCCCCCCCCTCGGAGATGATCATTCCAGGCCCCCCCCCATCTCCCACCCCATGGCAGTGATCATTCCAGGTCCCTTCCAGCATCTTCCACCCCATGGCAGTGATCATTCCAGCCCCTTCCAGCATCCCCCACCCCTCGGAGATGATCATTCCAGGTCCCTCCACATCTCCCACCCCATGGCAGTGATCATTCCAGCTCCTTCCAGCATCTCCCACGCCATGGAGGTGGTTATTCCACACCTGATGAGGTGGGGAGACCGCCAGCATCTCCCACAGGAGGGTTGGGAGGTCTGCTAGCCCTTCCCCAGCCCTTGCCCGTGCACCCCGAGCAGCCTTATCCCACCCCCTGGAATGGAACGTGGCTGAACCTGCGGTTTTCCCTTCCCCAGCAGCAGCAATCCCTGCTAATTGCTCAGGCCCCAGCTTGATGAAGCGTTTACAAAGCGCGCTTGACTCCAGCCCAGCTCGGCAAGGCAATTAAACACCCTCATAAATCCTCCTGCAGTAAATGAGCCTTAATCGGAGCTGAGGGCTGAGCGCGGCGCAGGCCGAGGGTCCCCTCTCCCCTTTCCCAGCTGTGAGGGATCCTGAGCACGGCGGCTGCACCGTGCTTCCCACACTGCCCACGGCCTCTGGAGCCTGCTCTGGTGTCCCTGTCCCTCCCTCCGGCAGGGTCACCCTGTCCCCTGGGGCAGCAGCCAGCTGGGAATGGGCCTTGGGTGGCACCTCCAGGGTGGGTGCAGACCCAGGGGGATGTCAGCTCTCTGCCAGGAGGAAACTGCATCTCCTCCAGGTTAGAATCCCCACGTGGAGCCTTTTCATTCCTTCCCTCAAGACTGCTTAGAGTCCCTCATGCCTCCCGTGGTCCCTCCTGGATGGAAGTTCTTCCTGTGGAACAAATGAGTCTCTCAATGCCCAGAGCTATGAGAAGCTCTGCAGAAAGAGAAAATTCTGAGCACCTGCCGTAGTGGAAGTTGTCCCTGCCCACGGCAGAGGGTGAAGTGGGATGAGCTCTAAACCAGGCTGGTTTTCCAAACCAGGATGGAATTTTCTGGAAATTGGTTTGGAGCTGGAGGGGCTCTGCAGGGAGCTGCAATGCCTTGTCAAGCCCAACCAAGTCCCCAGGAGCAGGTGTCCACCACCCTAGCCCTTCCCTGTGTCCCTCTCCTATCCCTCCACAGGATCTCCTTCACCAAACTGGCAAGCAAAGCCAGGAAGCCAGTAAGAAACACACCTGAGCTCGTCTTGGCTCCTGGACAAGCACCATGAGGCTGTGAGAGGCTGTTTGCTTATTCCCAACCTGGCCAATAAATGATTTATTCAGTGTGCTCGTGGTGCTTTTGTTTCTCACCCTGGTGCTGTTACTCTCCGAGAGGTTACAGAAGTGGAGCAGCACATGAAGACTAACTCAGACCAAAATGTTTATTTTCTAAACAGTTTGGGACAGCCACGGACGCAGCTGGAAAGAGGCAGCAACAGGAAAGACCAAGGCCTTGTGACGCTCGTGGTGTCCAGGAACCTGGATAAGAGAGAACCCGGCCAAACAAAGTGGGTCTGGCAGAGCCAGTTTTTATGTGGTGTGGGAAAACTGGGCATCAATCAGCTCCAGCAGCTGACCGATGGTTTCTAGAGAGTCTTGCTGGGGCAGCTGCTTGGTCAGGTCGAAGGCTTTCATCCCCACCTCCTGGGCCTGGAATGGGATAGAAGAAACACCCAGGGATTGTCAGGAATCTGGCTTTTCTCATGGGATAGTTAAATACCTGCTGAGGCTCGGTGCAGGAGCAGCCTGGAGCAGATCCAGGCTCTCTTTCCGAGGTGACCTGTACAAGCTGCTTTACAGGAGAGCCTAAAGCTGCCAGCAGATCCCATATTTAGGATCCAGTGGTGCAGACAGGAGATTACTGACCCCAGTCCCCCGTGCTGGACATCACCTCCTGTCTAACACAGCTCCTCTGAACAATCCCAAAGCCATGTCAGGATAAAAAAAACCAGCTGTACTGACTCTGAATTAAATCCCTCATTTATCTTGATAAGGAACAAAATAATTTCCCTTGGTAGCTCTTCCAGGGATTAGACACTCTCACAATTACAAAGCTTTGTCTTTTTTCTTTTTCAAACAAATTCCAATTTGTTTCTGTCTCCCAAACACTCACAACTTGTGGCTTTCTATAATACAATGAAGAGACCACTAATATTTCAATACAGTATTTTTCAACACCTGCATTTCCAATCCTCAAAACCCAGGCTGAAGAAACTCAGGGTTTTGAGTTCTGATCCCAAACAGAAGGGCTGGATTTCCAAATGCTATCTGCTCAGCACTTCCTCAAAATCAATTCTTGGTAAAGCACACAAGTTACTGGTCATGTGAATTTTTAAACCATAAAGACACAGGAATGCAGATTCCAAACTGGAATTACAGACCCCAGTAGACTGAACCTTGAACTCAGGGGAGTCAGGCTCAAGGATAGGTCTGTGAGCCCCACATGTTGCTCTGTGTAACCCCTGAACTCAGGTCTAAAGGCAGCTACACTGCCAAGACAGTCCAGACGAAGGAAGAACCCAGAAAATGTGGGTAACTGCAGGATCCACTGGCCTGGCAGAGACTCATCCCCCAGGATTGTCAGCCTTTACAGAGTGCAGGTCACAGAATTATGGAATAGTTTGGCTAGCAAGGGGCTTTAAAGCTGATCTCATATCCCATGGCAGGGACATCTTCTACAAGAGCAGGCTGCTCCAAGCCCATCCAACTGAGCCTTGGACACTTCCAGGGGTCCAGGGACAGCCACAGCTGCTCTGGGCACCCTGTGCCAGGGCCTGCCCACCCTTACAGGGAAGGATTTCCTCCCAGTATCCCAGCTAAGCCCTGGGTGTGAGCACTGTGAGGCACTTGACCAGCGCTGTGGCTCAGGAGAGGTGCTGGGGAACAAAGGACCAGGAGATAGGGTGATCCCAGAGCAGCTGGGGATCTTTCAGACACAACCTACCTTGGCTAAATCCAGGTCCAGGTAGTGGATCATGGCCAGGGCGTGCAGGACTCGGGCTGTTTCCCCAGGATGCTGCAGCGGGCCCTGCTCCCTGACCTCCAGCACCGCGCTCAGCACCCGCTTTCCTTCCTCGCGCTGCACTTCGGCTGCGTGGAGAAAGAAATGATCCTGATGGATGGATTTGTGCAAGAGAACAGGTTCAAAACTGCCCAGCTGGCTCTTCTAGACAGCAAAGCATTTCTACTATAAATGTCAGCATGGTCTGAGGGTGGGCAGGCCCTGGCACAGGGTGCCCAGAGCAGCCGTGTCTGCCCCACCCCTAGAAGTGCCCAAGGCCAGGCTGGACAGGGCTTGGAGCAGCCTGGGATAGTGGAAGGTGTCCCTGCCATGGCAGGTGGTGGAATTAGGTGGACTTCAAGGTCCTTTCCATCCAAACCAGTCTGGGTGTCTATGATCCCAGCTTCATGAAAATTCCGTGCCCATGAACAGGACTCCTTTCATCCAGCCAGTGCTTGTGTTGAGCACTCTTCAGAGAGGCTTCCTTCTGCTGCAGGAAAAGAACATTTTTTCTACTCCTGTCACAGCAAAGATGGTCTCCTGTAGCCCTGCCTTAGTGTTCTTCCTACTCTGGGAACTCCTGATGGAGGTAGTGCCAGGAAATGGGATTTTCAGAAATGCTTCTCTTAAAATCACAGAATTCCAGACTGCTTTGGTTTGGAAGGGATCTTAAAGACCATCTCATTCCAATCCCTGGCCATGGGCAGGGACACCTTCCACTACACAAGGCTGCTCCAAAGCCTGTCTAACCTGACCTTGAACATTTCAGGAAGAGAAATTTTTATTCCCTTTCCTGAATTAGCACAGATGGCAGAAAGGAGCCAAGAACCAGAGTCTGGTCTGGTTTCAGGGAAGCGTGAGGTAGTACCAGGGGCACACCGATGCCTTCTGCACCTTTATGTGCCAGTGAGAGACTCCCCAGCCTTTCTCCCAAGAGTGCTCTCCTGATTAATACATCCAATTATCTGTAATTGGCTATTCCATCATGTCCAGCTGCTCCAGGAGGGAGCTGTACCCCCACGTAAGTGAGCTGAGATGTCACATCCATTATTAAAAGGAGACGAAGGAGCTGCAGAGAAATGAGAATGTTTGAGTATCAAATCGCACCAGGGTAGGTTTGCTTGCAATATTAGGAAGAATTTTTTTTCATGGAAAGGATGTAAAGCATTGGAACAGGCTGCCTAGGGAGACAGTGGAGTCCCCATTGCCTGCAAGTGCTCAGAAAGCACGTGCATGTGCCTTGTGGGATGTAGGTTAGTGGTGAACAGGACAGTGCTGGAGGAATAGCTGGATTTGATGATTTTAAAGGTCCTTTCTAACCCAAAGTTAGAAAAAGTTAGATTCCATCACTCCATGAATCAAATTTTGCTTTGTTCCAGTCAGTGCTGAGGGAGAATGCACTCAGCAAGGGCAAAGCTGGCTTTCCACGGAACACCCTCATTCCTGAAGAATTGGCATTGCCATTAAACCCAACCTCTCCAAACACCATGCCAACATGATCTTTAGGGTGCAGGGACTCTTTAACCGCCCACTTCCCAAAGGTTTTGGAGCAACAGCAGCTCTTACTCATCCCGTCCTCGAGGCCCTCCTCCTCCTCGGAGAATGGCGACGCCTCTGCCTGGGCCTGGAGCTCTCGCTGGTGCTCGAGGAGGGAGCTCAGCAGCCAGGCGTGCCACAGGCTGCTCACCTGGCAGGAAGCATGGGAATTATTGCACTCCTGTGAACCCCTGGCATTCAGCTGCTCTCCAAACAATGGCCCCGCGCGGCCTGTCCCCTCCGCGTGCCTGCGGATCACCGAGCCAGGCCGGGTGTTCCCAGAGGGATCACACTGCTCCTGTCCCACACAGCCCCAGCTGCAGTCACTCCCATCTCCGTCTGATGGGATTTTCACCCAGCTTGAACAAATCTAACCAAAATGTTCACCAAAAGCTGGCTGACTTGAAGTTTGGGACAGGAATGGTGGTGGATTTTGCAGCTCCCAGCGCCTTATTTCCACATAAATGGACTTAAGCAAATAAAAGTTCATTTGTTGAGTTATTAAATCAATTAGATAATTATTACTTTCCTTGCTTGATCTAACCATTCTGAAAATCTTTTATCGGTGTGACTTTTTACTGATTCCCAGTGTAAATTTTAGGTGCCTTGTTTGTATCCCCCTCTTCCCTGGATTTAGGAACTCCTCAGAGACCCTCTGTACTGGTGGGACTCTGACCCCTGGCACAGGAAATTTGGCAGCAAAGCTGTTTTTTAACAAGGTTTGGCTGCTCAAACTGAAGATAGTTTATTAAGAATTTTTAACTGGTTACAGGATTAATATCTCATTATTTTAACTCAGATAATTATTTATGTACAAAAAGGGTTTCTGGGCCTGAGCCTAAAAGGCAACACTGACACTTGATATGGTCATCATCCCATTGAAAAGAAATGGAAAAAACTTTGGAAAGAGCATCAAAAAAAGCTGAGAAAAACTCAGAGGGTGATTTTAGGTTCTACCAACCTCAGTATACAGTGAATTTGCTACATCCATTTTATTCTGGTGGAAGAAAATATTGGCCATGTGGAAGTACCCTCCAGAGACCTTGATGGAATTTAGTCCAAACTCAGCAGTCGCCAGGTAAACCTGAAATCAATATTAGATAAAAAATAAGCCCCGGAAGGTTCACATTCATGTCAAACCTGGCAAGCTTTTCATTGTGGATTAATATTGCAAATATTGGGGATTTTTAATGTGTAAATGATGCCTGACAGTGATTGGAAAATGTGGTACTTAAAAGCTGTTTTTTGGGGGTTATGTAAAAGAATGACGTGCTAAAAACTGTATTTGGGGGTTATCCATAGGAATGAGGCACTAACAAGCTGTATTTTGGGGGTTATCCATAGGAATGAGGTATTAAGTTGTATTTTGGGAGTTATGTAAATGAATAAGGTAAAAAACCTCTATATTTTGTTGTTATCTATGGGAACGAGGTACTAAAGAATTGTATTTTGGGGGTTATCCATAAGAATATACCTAGCTCACAGAGTTTATTCATAGAAACATACTAAAAAACTGTATTTTGGGGTTGATCCATGGGAATGCAACACCCTAAATCCCCCCTGGCTGGGGCAGAGGCACCTGCTGGGTCCATTCTCTAAAGTCCAGGGCAGGTTTCCCACCTCTGCCCCTCTCCCTGTGCCACCCACCTGTCCCAGCTCTCCCAGAGCCCATCCTGCTGCTGTCCCAGCCCCAGGCAAGCCTGCCCTTCCCCCGGAGCAGCAGTGGCAAGGCAGTGTGGCATTCCAGCTATTCTGAGCTGCTGTGTGACTCTCAGCAGATCCCAGACACGCAGCCAAGGTCCAGGCAGGCCCTGAACTTGTTAAGAGTTAAAAACTCCTTACCTGGTGCCCTTTCAGGCATCACATTTAGGGAATTAAAAAAAAAAATAAATAAAAGGGGTGGATTTTGGAGATTCTGGAAATCTCCAAGGACTTTTGGGAGATTCCTTTGTGGGATTCTCAAATGCCCAAAGAGCTTCTAGACTGAGCAGAGACTTGGCTGTGTGTTATAATAGAAAGGGTCTAACTCTTCTCTCTTTATGTCATCATTTACACCCACACAAAGCCACTATCAAATTCCACAGGAGTGGGTATACATCACTCAGCACTGGATCACTGGATAAATTTAGTCTACAGGGGACAGAAATAGGATGTGGAGAAGTTCATCTGGCTTTGGAGGATCAAATGACAGACAAAGCATCCACAGGAACACAGGTGGCAATGACCAATTCCAAAGAGTTTTCATGGTTGAAGAGGTGGAATTGGAGAAAACTTCATTGAACCAGATACTGAAATAGGGAAATAAGGCATTAATTAAATAATGGGTGACAGAGCTGGGAAAGTACTGAGGGAAATAACAGCCAAAATTTGAATTATCTGTGGAATAAAGGCAACTCCATCAGCCTGGGACAGGAATGTCTGGGCATCTCTGCACTGAAATGAAGCTGATGGAGACATTTATAGGAAGAAGCCATAAAGACAAGGAATGTGAGGAATATATGAGGAGTGTCTGAGGGGGCTCAGCCTGGAGAAAAGGAGGCTCAGGGGGGCCCTTGTGGCTCTGCACAGCTCCTGACAGGAGGGGACAGCCAGGGGGGTCGGGCTGTGCTCCAGTGAACAGGGACAGGAGGAGAGGGAACGGCCTCAGGCTGGGCCAGGGGAGATTTAGGTTGGATATTGGGAAAAATCCGTCATGGAAGGGTGTTCAAGTATTGGAACAGGCTGTGCAGGACAGTGGTGGAGGTGGACCATCCCTGGAGGTGTTCCAAAAAGGTGTGGTTGTGGCACCTGGGGACATGGGTTAGTGGTGGGCCTGGCAGTGCTGGGGAATGGTTGGACTTGCTCATGGTGGAGGCTTTTCCAGCCTTAGTGATTCCGTGATTCTCTGTCACTTCACAGGAACAGGGATAACTGGCAAAACACATCTTTAGCTCACACCTGGATCCACAGGTGTCCCAGATCCATCCAGCTTGGGTGTCTGTGATGTGAACCCTCTCAAGACCCCAAATCTGCCTGTTGGCATTTCCATATTGATCTGGGAGGAGAGAAGGAATTAAAATGGAAGTGTTCCTTGTTCCTGTGTTCCAAGGGACTTACATCATTGGCCAGGTGATACAGAGCCTGGTCCAGGTTTCCTTCAGCAACAGAGAAAAGCCCCAGGCCACGGTGTAACTTAGACTGAAGAGCAGCACTGCAGTCTGGGGTTTGCAGGACGATCCACTGGGCTTGGGAGAGATATTTGGCTGCCTGTCGGGGACGGCCAGCACCTGGAATGACATGCAGGGACAATCAGGGAAATAGGGAAGATGAGGAGCATTTTTTAATCTGGAAAGTCAGAGAATACTACTGGCTGTCCTGGGTTAGCTGGATATGGAGATGCATTTGGGGGATTCCCCACTTCTTTCCCAAGTGCTTCTGTGTCTAAAGACTCATTTACAGACAGGTGAATGTGTAGAGAGCTCCAAAAGGAGCCAGAAACCACAGAATTCCAGACTGATTTGGATTGAAGGGGACCTTCAAGCTCATGGGCAGGGACACCTTCCTCTATCCCAGGTTGCTCCAAGCCCCATCCAGCTGGGCCTTGGACACTTCCAGGGATCCAGGGGCAGCCACAGCTGCTCTGGGGAAACTGTGACAGGCCTCGCCACCCTCGGCAGGGAAGGGTTTCCTCCCAATATCCCATCTGACCCTGCCCTCTGGCAGTGAGTGGGAAGCCATTCCCCCTTGTCCTGGCACTCCAGACCCTTGTCCAGTGTCCCTCTCCAGCTCTCTTGGAGTCCCTTTAGGCATTGAAAGGGGCTCTGAGGTCTCCCTGGAGCCTCCTCTCCTTCAGGTGAGCAGTTCCAGCTCGCCCAGCCCGGCTCCATGGCAGAGGATACATTGCTCACGCTGAGCAATTGCTCATTGCCCCTAAACATTGCTCACAACCTCTCTGGGACACGTGGCCTAAACAGGTTCACTCCAGGCAGGCACTGATGTCTCTCACCTTATCACACTGGAATTACTCACAGTGTTTTTTCCTCCCTGCTCTCATCGCACCATTTACGACAAGCCCTGAGCCAGCTCCCTTGTGCCAGCAGAGCATTGTGTGCTCCTGGGATGGCAGTGATTTACAGGGATCCCTCTTGCAGGGAGAGCAGCTCCCATGCCCTCATTTGCCATGTTTTCCAAAGCACACAATGAGAGAAAGCTCTGCTCAGGCAGAGCAAGATTTGTGAATGAACTGGAAGTTCTTTGGGTGCAATGGCCTCTGAAATGTTTGCTGGTTCCCTGAGATAAGAGCACAACTAGTCACCCTCTGGAATTTAATGCTTTGGAGTCATCTGAGGCCATGGAGGTGAAGAACAAACTTTCATACAGCTTCTCCTGTGGGAACTGGTGGAGAGGGAGAAAACATTTAATTTGATTTCACTGATCTCCTGAGTGCTGAGAGATTCTTCTCCCCAGAGCCACAGCAAAGGGGTGTGAGGGGGGTGTGTGTTTGTACAGCTCAAATCTCTGCAGTGCCCTTGAGGCACAGCAGGGCCCACAACTGCTCCTCTCCAGATAAATGGCAAAAGGAAGGCAGAAACCTGAGCCGGGAGGCCTTGCCCTTGCCAGCATTCCCGTGTTGACAATGCTCACCCGTGGAGGCCTCAGCCAGGAGCAGATAAATGGGCACGAGCTGCGCGGAGCCGGAGCCGAACGCTCGGGAGCTGAAGCGCAGCGCCTGCAGCGCTGCAGGAATTGCTTCCAGGGGCTTCCCTGCCCACACAAACCCCTGGGCTGTGCTCAGCGCCACGGCAATGAGGGACTCCTGCAGGGAAACAGAGCAGGGGCACAGTGAGGAAACACAGGGAGAAAGAAATCACAGGACCCCACAATGGTTTGGGTTGGAGAGGCCTTAAAGCCCATCTCATCACACCCCCTGCCATGGGACACTTTTCACCAGACCAGGTGGTTACAGATGCACAGGCTCTTTAAAATCAGGTTTTCAAATTACAAAGCAGCAATTGTAATGTAGTTTGTGGCTGTAATTAATAGGCAGGCATTAAAGCTGTCATATTAGAAGGTATTAGAGTCTGGCTCCATTCCTGCTCTGAGCAGGAACAGCTTTGGACATCCTCACAGGTCATGTGGTGTCTTCCCAGACGAAGAATCCTTTACGCCTCCTGACAAGGTCTCATAAGGCTGCAGCAATAAAAGCTGTGAAGCACAGAAAATGATCATCACAAGACCAGAAAGGAGATTAGAGCCAGGGGCTCCGGCGTGACTCAGAGGCAGCCAAGCCCCGTGGTGCCAGCATGGCACAGCTCCAGCTGCTGGAGAAATGGCCAGGGAGTGAGGAGAGAGCTCCTCACAGGGAACTGCAGCTTCATCCCACCCTCTCCTGGCTGGTCCTGGACTGGGTTTTGTGTGCAGAGCCTGAAAACTGGTCAAAATCAGAAGGTGTTACACTCAGCAAACCCATCCCCAGCCGGGGTCGGTGGTGCAGCAGCTCCTGCAGTGTTTGGGTCTGTCAGAACCCATAACTTATCCTGTACTTATCCATATATAGCTGCTCCCTGCCTTTTGCTGTTCCTACCAGTCCACACCATTTGGCCTCCAACGTTAGCAGCAGCTGATGTAATCCCCAGCTCCACAAACAGATCTCCATCCCAATTCCTGCTCCCTGCCAGGAGCTGTGCATGCTGTGCCCTTACAGGGATGCCAAGGAAAAAGCGCCAGGATCCTTGTAGAACAGCAGAATTCCAGAAAGGTTGGGGTTGCAAAGGGCCTTAAAGCTCATTTTTTCCACCCCCTGTCATGGGAAGGGACACATTCCACTGGACCAGGCTGCTCAGAGCCCCATCCAGCCAGCCACTAACACTTCCCCATCACTTTTCCTAGCAGTGGTGCAGCAGAAAGCTGCCTGGGAATCAGTGGTGCTGCTGGAGAGCGCAGCAGTGCTTGTCTCAGTGAGACACTGAGGAAACACCATTCACCTCTTCATCACCCTCTGCCTCCAGCTGGGGCTGAGTGGGCAGAGACACCAATCTCAGCTCCTGGAGGCCAGGCTTTGGCATTTTGCTGAGCTTGAACTGCCTGGAGTGAGGCAGAGTTGTGCCATGGGTGAAGGAGCACCTCCAGGACAGAGAGCTCCAGGGATCCTGGAATCCTGGCTGAGGTAAAGAGACACCTTTTAGGATAAATGAGATCACCAAAGAACACAGCCCAGAGCAACAGCCCCTGCTCCAGTGAGGAGAGCCAAGAGCCAGAAAACACAGCACCCATTCCTGAGCTACCAGAACATGGAGAGGGGAAAGGCAGGTTTTCCAGAGAAGCTGTAGCACCCCTGGAAGTGTCTAAGGCCAGGTTGGATGGGGCTTGGAGCAGCCTGGGATAGTGGAAGGTGTCCCTGCCCTTGGCGAGGGGTGGAATGAAATGGACTTTAAGGTCTGTTCCATGCCAAACCAGTCTGGGAGTCTGTGAAACACAAACTGTGTCCAGGGAGCAGGTGGTGCCCGGGAGAACACCAGCACATGCTTGGGGCAGCAGCAGGAAAAGCTGGTATTTCTCAGGCTGCTTTTTCTGTCTGTGCCAGTCTGGTGCAACCAGTGCAGGCCCCAGTGCGTGGGCACGGCCCAGATTGGCATCTGGGAGGTGCTGGAGATTGGGATCATTCTTTTTTTACTCCTTGTCAATGGCATCATCGCTGCTTCCCATGGCCTGGAACATCTGCAGCGAGGACAAAGCTGGGGGTTGGACTCTGGCACAGCTTCCAGGAGGAGAAGGAAGGGCAGGAGGCAAGAGGAGCCCTGGAGCAGTGAATATTTCCAACCACAGTTCCAAGCCTTGCAGGATGGCTCCCTTGGGCCCTGGAGAGCCCTGGGGGAATGGTTCCCCTTGGCCCTGCCCTGGTTTCCCCCTCCCCCCTGGCCCTGTTACTTTGGGCTCTCTCCATGTGTGCTGCAATTTGAGGTTTCTCTGAAGATGCCCCCACACAGTTTTTGGGGTTTGAGGGGGCTGAGGACCTCAGCTCTGCTCCAGGTGGGAGCAGGGGGTTGGGAACACACTCAGGGCTTGGTGCCACATCCTTTACTCACTCTCAGGCACCAAAATCTGTGGTGTGTCTGAAGAAATGAGGGTTTCAGGAAGAGGGAAGGCTCCAGCGAGCTGCAGCTGAACCTGCAGCCAGAGCTGGGGCTGGATCTTTTCCCGTGCCCAGGAGCTGTGGGGAGCTGACATCAGGCAGGCAGGTGAGGCTCTCCTCCAAACAGAAACTTGGAGTTCTGTTGGTTTGGAGGTGCTGTCTGCAGGCACCCCCCTGGCTATGTTGACAGAAGCAGATTTCTATCAACAAAGCTTTGGAGCACAGACAAGGAATGAAACTCATAAAACCTCCTGGCTCCCAGCTCCCTGCTCCTTGAGCCACGGGGCATTTGGATGTGCCCAGGTTCCCTGTGTCCTGGCTGAGGCTGGAGCTCTGTGTTTTCTAAACAAACACAGGGCAGGAGTGGGTGAAGTACAGCAGAAATGTTCAAAAAGCAGCAAACCCTAGGCAGGCTTTGGGCAGGAGGTTTTTTTCTCTAGTTATCATGAGTCTGCAGAGCTTTTCCTTCAAAGGCCTTTTTTGCACAGAATCCCAGACTGGTTTGGGTTGAAGGAAGCCTAAGGCTCATCTCATTCTGCCCCTGCCATGGCAGGGACACCTTCCACTGTCCCAGGCTGCTCCAAGCCCTGTCCAGCCTGGCCTTGGACACCTCCAGGGATCCAGGGACAGCCACAGCTGCTCTGGGCACCTGTGCCAGGGCCTGCCCACCCTCACAGGGAAGAATTTTTAAAGAACTTTTATTTGATCTGGGATAGGAAGGTGATGCAGCCAGTATCAAGGCACTAAATAACCTCCCCCTCTCCCAACAGCTCTGAGCCAGCCCAGGCCCAACTTGGCTGCTCCAAATCCTGCTGGACACAAAGGAACTTCCCCTCCTGCTGGGAAAGCCAGTGGGTAACTGAGGGATTTCCACTGTCTCCCTCCTTTGTTTGGAGAGAAGGAAAGCAAAGTGTCCCAGCACAGACAGTTCTCAAAATCTATTTTTATTTAAATAGGCTGGAGACAAAGGTCAGAGAACAGATGATGTTAAGGGTTGTTAAGGAGCTTATAAAAATCACCACTTCAGAAAACCCCAATCTTCTCTCCCTGCCTTGCCCATGGAGCCATTCCCAGCCCAGGCTCCAGCTCCATACTGCTGTTTGCTCACCCAGTGTGAACCCCAATCAAGAGTGACTTTCTCTCCACCAGCCTTCCTGCTGTCTTTCCCTTCACCTAATTAAACCAGCAGATTAACTTCCAGCTAATGAAGGAGCACTTCCCTCAGCTGGCAGCCACGTGGCCTGCTGGAATGTGTGGGGATAATTTTAGTTGCAATAAAGTCAGTGATGTAATCAATGTCAACACCAGTGTTCAATAGCAGAGGAGTTCCTTGGAACAGCTTCAAGCACTTCTGGATGCACAACCCTGCCACACCCCCATGACACCCATTCTAACCTTCCTTGCAGGTTTTACAAAGAACAACTTAAACAGAACCTGGAATTAAGGAAGTTTTGCTCTTTCCCTTTGGGACACACTGGCCTGACACACCTTCTGTGGACTTTGCTCAACAGTCTCACCTGGGATTTTCAGCCAGACAGGAGTTTCCAAACCAGCCTGTGATGTCATTGCCCAGTTCCTGTAAAACCAAAAGGAGCCAGCTGCCTAAAGCCTGTCACGAGCTCTCACCCAGCAGGACTTTGGCCTTTGGACTTCATTTTTCTGGAAGCTCCCAGGAAAGGTGACAGCAGTGAACTAGTCCCCAAAGCCCCAGAATTGGGCCAGAAACACCTTAGAAATAATAATCCATGTAAAATTCAAAAGATGAGGGATGTTCTCCTCATTGGATTGCTCCAAACCCACTGTGTGCTGCACTATTATTCTGTGTCTGGGAGTTCTTCCAGAGGGAAAATTCATCTCCACAGGGAGGATTTTCAGGAGCAGATGCACCTGGGTGGGTTATTTTAGCAACAAGGTAGAACAGCAGCTCCTGCCACTCCATAAACAGAAAGAGAAGGAGTTGCAAACCACTGGGGCTGGAAAGGAGCTGCACATCTGCATGTCCCTGAGGCCTGATGGAGAAAAAAGGCTGCACTTAGTGGGAAAGGGTGCTCCAAGCTGGCTAGGAAAACAAAGGGAGGGGACCTGGTTTCTTTGCCCTTTGCTCTGGGAAAGGGGATGCCCTCCCACCGAAGAGCCTGGAAGAAGCAAATCTCAGCTGGATCCCAGAGCAGCCTGGGTGATGGAGCAACCTGCTGGCAAATCCAGGATTGCTGCTGCCTGAGGAAGCTCAGGACACGAAGTAAACGCTGTGGAAATGGCTGGAGGCTCAGGAATTATTGTATTTGCAGGGACCCTCGTGGCAGAGGGAATGATGAGTCTGACTGCATGTTCTCAGGAGGCTAATTTATTACTTTATGATACTGTATTATATTAAAGAATACTATGCTGAAGAATACAGAAAGGATACAGACAGAATGCTAAAAAGATAATAATGAAACTCATCACTCTCTCCAGAGTCCTGACACAGCTTGGCCCTGATTGGCCAAAGAGTGAAAACAACTCACAGCAGAATGCACTGAAACAATCACCTGTGGGTGAACAATCTCCAAACACATTCCACATGAGCACAACACAGGAGAAGCAAATGAGATCAGAATTGTTTTCCTTTTCTCTGAGGCCTCTCAGCTTCCCAGGAGAAAAATCCTGGGAAGGGATTTTTCCAAAGAATGTGAATGCCACAGGGGTGACAGAGAGGATGCTCCCACACCCCTTATTTTTGAGGTTTTGTTTAAAAAAACAACCCCAAAACCTCTGCAACCAAGCCCCAAATCAGCCAAGGAGGTGCCATCCTCTTCCTTGGGAGCATCCAGAGGGAGCAATTCTAAAGGGGTGGATCCTGTGAAGGCAAAAGCCTTGCTGGGTTTTAGGCAAGAAACTCCTTTCCATTTTGTATCGAGTGGGCAGTGAGAGCCAAGGCTGCTTTGGGGACTCCAGTGTGGCTGAAAACTCCAGGTGAGCCCAGTGAGCCCCTGGTGTGCACAGCCAGGGCAGGAGAGGAGCTGGAATTCCTCCCTGGAAGCACTTTGGGCTGTGCTGGCTCCTCCTGCACCCACCTGCCTCCTCAGCAGCTGCTCCTTGCCAAGTTTCCTGGCTGTGTCGGAATGGAAGCAGGGCTGGGGCCCAAGGACTGGGATGAGCAGGGGGCAGATGTGGCTGTGGATGCTGATCCAGTCAGTTTGCTGGTGGGAGACATCGCTGGCAAAAGGAGGGGAGAAAGACACTGCTGTTTACTGGGATGTTGTGTAAGGGAAGATGGTTCCCTGCTGTCCTTCAGGACTTTCTCCACAGCAGCTACCCAGAGCCCTGGGCTGCCTGCAGGCACCAATCCATGACATTCCCAAATGCCTCCATTTCCCAGCACATCCCCACGGCCCTCTGTGCTAAAATCCTCATCTAAATCCCTCCCTGAACTCCTGAGACAGCTGAGCTTGAGCAAACCCCTGGATTCCAGCACTGGAAAACCACAAACCAAAAACCACAACCAGGTCACCGTGGGAACAGGGAATGTTCTGGAACCCAGCGACTGCTCTGGGGGCCTGTGAGGGGTGTTTGTGTGACACTGCAGAGCTCCCTGAGGCAGGAGCTGCTGGAAGGCAGCAGGAGCGTTCCAGGTGAGAGTGCCTGCTCCAGCTCCTGCTGCCCTGCTGGCTGAGCTCCAGCCTGGGCCCTCTGCTGAGCCCATCCTGGGGCTGGTCCTGCCCGCTGAGCCCAGCCTGGGTCTGGTCCCTCCCTGCTGAGCCCACCCTGGGGCTGGTCCCTGCCCGCTGAGCCCGGCCTGGGGCTGGTCCCTGCCCGCTGAGCCCGGCCTGGGGCTGGTCCTGCCCGCTGAGCCCACCCTGGGGCTGGTCCCTCCCTGCCGAGCCCAGCCTGGGGCTGGTCCCTGCCCGCTGAGCCCGGCCTGGGGCTGGTCCTGCCCGCCGAGCTTTCTCCCAGATCTCATCCCTGTGTCCTGGGCTTTGTCTGTGTGCACTGAGGCTCATCCCCGGGGTAACCCCTGCCTCTTGGTTCTGTCCCAGACCACACCCCAGGCCGTGTCGCTGTCTCTCTGTCCTGTTCCGGGCCTGTTCCTGCCTCCTATGTTTCATCTCCACGTGTCCTGAGCCTCATCCTGTGGCTGGTTCCTGCTTCCTGGGCCTCTTCCCATGCCCTGGGCCTCATCCTAGGCCTGGTGCCCTGAGCCTTTTGTGGGACAAGCGCTGCCTCTCGTCCTGTCCCAGCTCTGCTCCTCCCTGGGCCTCATCCCGAGCGCCCGGCCTCACCCCGCCCGTGCCTGCAGCCTCACCCCGGCGCTAACCCCGGCCCTGGCCTGTCCCCGGGCTGTCTCACCAGTAGTAGGTGAGGCGGCAGCCGGGGCAGCGCAGCGGGGCCGCCCGGGCCCCGCACAGCTCGCAGCGCGGCAGCGCCGCCATGGCCGCCCCAAGCCCTCGCCGCGTCCCCGGTTGCCGGGGTGACACTTCCGGTGAGGCCAGACGCGTCACTTCCGACCGGCGATAGCGTTCTGTTGCCGGGACAACACTTCCGGCAGAGGAGGAAGCGACACACGTGACTTCCGGCGGGCCGTGCGGGCCGGTCCGGGTCATGGCGGCGGCGGCGGCGGAGGAGACGGACAAGGACAAGGAGGCGGACGACGACACCGACGCCAATGCGGCGGCCACCGAGGGCCGGGTGCGGGCTTGGGCGGCGGCGCAGGCGGCGCGCGGGCGGCGCGTGGCGCTGGTGACGTCGGGCGGCACGCAGGTGCCGCTGGAGGCGCGGGCCGTGCGCTTCCTGGAGAACTTCAGCAGCGGCCGGCGCGGCGCCGCCTCGGCCGAGCGGCTGGTGCGGGCGGGCTACGCCGTGTGCTTCCTGCACCGCGCCCGCTCCGCCTTCCCCTGGGCCCGCGCCCTGCCGCCGCCGCGCCCGCCGCGCTGCCCGCGCTGCTGCCCGCGCTCCGCGAGTACCGCCGCGCCACCGAGGCGGGCGCGCTGCTCGCCATCGAGTTCACCGGGCTCGTGGAGTACCTGGCGCTGCTGCGCGCCGCCGCCCGCGCCCTGGCGCCCCTCGGTACGGGGGAACCGGGGGGGAGCGGGGGGCAACCGGGGGGAACCGGGGGGGAAGCGGTTCGTAGGGCACGGGGCAGCGCGGGACGGAGCCCCCCGGGCGGGCTCGGTGTGAGGGAACAGGGTGGTCCCGTGCTAAAGTTCGGGGTGAGGAGGGATGAGCATCTCTGGGGGTCTCCAGCGTGAGGGGAGCAGGAACGAGGGGATGTGGTGGTTGTGGGAGAAAGATCGAGGGGTCCCCGGGGTGAGCAGAGACAGAACCCCTCGCAGGGGACAGAACCCCTCGCAGAGGACAGAGCCCCTCGCAGGGACAGAACCCCTCACAGGGGACAGAACCCCTCCCAGGGGACAGAACCCCTCCCAGGGGACAGAACCCCTCACAGAGGACAGAACCCCTCCCAGGGGACAGAACCCCTCCCAGGGGACAGAACCCCTCACAGAGGATGGAACCCTTCACAGAGGACAGAACTCCTCCCAGGGGACAGAACCCCTCACGGGGACAGAACCCCTCACGGGGACAGAACCCCTCCCAGGGGACAGAACCCCTCCCAGGGGACAGAACCCCTCACGGTGGCCCCAGGCCCGGGTGTGAGGTGATCCAGGACTGTGGGGCTCTGGCCCGAGGGTTCCAGGCCCCCTGTGCTTGGAGGGCTCCTGTGAGGCTCCGGCTGTCCCCGGCGGCTGTCGTGGCTGGGAGGAGGGGACAGCACAGAGCCCGGGCTGGGGTCGGCCCGCCCTGCTCAGGGCTGTCCCCGGGGGGAGCCTGGTGCCCGGTGGGGGGCAGGACAGGCCGTGGCAGCAGGGGCAGCAGCCGTGCTCCCTCCCACAGGCTCCAGCGTCATGTTCTACCTGGCCGCCGCCGTCTCGGATTTCTACATCCCGCTCTCCGAGATGCCCGAGCACAAGATCCAGTCCTCGGAGGGGCCCCTGCAGGTGAGGCCCCCCCGGCATGGCCCCCAGCCCCTCCTTGCTTCCAGGGCCCTTCTCCCGAGAGCTGGCTGTGGATAAAGTGGGAAAGCAGCAGAGCAGCAGCTCGTGTGTGTTGTGAGGGGGTGAGATCCCTCTGGAAATCCTGGAGTTTCACTGTTTTATTCTTATCTTGCACTGAGGGGCCCAGATAAGAGGGCAGGGCAGGATCAGCCCTGCTCTCCTTTGATCCAGGTTTATTTTTAGGGTGAGGTTTAGGGGTGAGGGGTCCTGTGGGTGATCTGCTCTGTCTGATATGGAGCAGCTTCAGCATGTGTGCACTTGTGGTGTGGCACATGAAGAGGGCCCCCCGAGGTGCCTCCTGCTTTTCTGGCTTTGTCCTTTAGAGCTGCCCCTGCTTCCATGGAGATGAGGAGAGGGTGGGTCTCTCAGAGAGCTGAAGTGCTCCAGGAATAGCTCCTGGAGTGCTTGAGTTGCTGCCTTTTGTCTGGAGAGAGGCTTTGGGGAAGGGCCTGGAGTGCGAGGACAAGGGGGGAATGGTTTCAAACGGACAGAATGGATTTAGTTTGGGTATTGGGAAGAAATCCTTCCCTGTGAGGGTGGGCAGGCCCTGGCACAGGTGCCCAGAGCAGCTGTGGCTGCCCCTGGATCCCTGGAGGTGTCCAAGGCCAGGCTGGACAGGGCTTGGGATGGGATAATGGAAGGTGTCCTTGCCATGGCAGGGGGTGGAATGAGATGGGATTTAAGGTTGCTCCCAACCCCAAACCATTCCCTGACTCTGGGGTCCATCTTGCTTGTACAGATGACAGAACAGCCCTGCAGCACCGAGGTCCCTCTCAGCAATGGAGCAGGTGTCTCTGGAATTCTTTACATAACAAATACCAAATTTATTTAATTAATTACTTTCCAAGAAGTTGCTGGCCTCCATTCTTTAACATTAGCATTGGAAATATGAGACCTGGCCTGATTCCCAGTGATGGATCCAGAGGCTGGGAAGCTGCAGAACAGTCTCCTACTGTTTTTCTCCCTGCTTGAGCACTTTTATTCCTCACGTGTGTTAAAGACTTGATAGAAGGAAGGTGAAGATGGGATAAACTACCCGAATTCTGGAGAGGTGAAAACTCTGATTTGTGCAGTTACAATGCTTTTTTAAATCTTCTCTCCTCGTGTTTAAATTCCCCCAGTGTGGGGGCTCCTGTGGTCCAGCCTCAGAACCCCCTGACTGTGAGCACCACATGGAGCATTGAATTTAAATTTAGTGTCATTTGAACCTTGTTTGCTGAGAGCTGCCCAAACACTGCCTTGAAAAACTTCCTGGTGCAGATGGAATATGAAACAAAGCTGGAATTTCCCTCTTTCCCATCCCATCTCTGATTAAAACTCCCTGTAATGTTTTTACTGATTTTTTTCTTTTTATCTTTCCCCGCTGCAGATCACAATGAAGATGGTGCCAAAAATGCTGTCACCCCTGGTCAGAGACTGGGCCCCCGAGGCCTTTGTGATTTCCTTCAAACTGGAGACGGATCCCCAGATCCTCCTGGACAAATCTCGGCAGGCTCTGGAGAAATACCGGCACCAGGTGGTGGTGGCCAACGTGCTGGAGTCGCGGAGAACCTCCGTCATCATCGTCACCAGGGACTCCCAGACCCCCCTGACCCTGTCCAGCGAGGAGATAGCGCAGGGCGTGGAGATAGAGGAGAAGATTGTGAGCTACCTGCAGGGCCAGCACACTGCCTTTATAGAGAGGAAAGGCTGAGGAGCAGCTGGGAGGAAACAAGGGAGTGGTGCTGCAGGGGGAGCGGGACTGGAGCCCGGGCAGCTGCACAGACCAGTCCCACAGGGCACGAGAGGGCCCTCCAACACTGTCACTTCCACACAGTCTGGCCGTGGTGGCTCTGTAAAAGAGAAATACATGGAAGTGAAACCATTCCAAAGGATATTTGTCCTGGTGTCTGAAGGAGGAAAGAAGCTTGTTTCTGTCCCGTGGGCTGGGAGGACGAGAAGTGGCGAAGGTCTCTGTATATAAAGAATTTTTTGAATCTCCTTCTTTGAATTTTCTTTTAGAATGGCAGGAGGGAGGAATGGGGCTTTGCAGGAAAGACGTGCTGGTTTTATGACTGGAGTGGGGAATCTCTGGTGCTGAGAATGGATGGTGAAACCAGGGTAGCAAAAAGGAAAATGAGGTGGCAGCAACTTTGGGGAAGCAGCTCTTGTGCCAGGGGAGATCCTGGGAGAGATCCCGTGTTCCTACATTTCAGGTGCTGCAGCAGTGTCCCTAAAGCATCTGTTTCAAAGGTTTTCCTTCCAGGTATTTGAAGGTTGCTTTGCTTCATATTCCATTTACACCAGAAAGTTTTCCAAGGCAGTGTTTGGGCAGCTCTCACCAAGCGAGGCTCAGGTGTCACTGCAGAGCTCTGTAAACAAAGGCAAGGCCACATTTGGCACAGACCACAGAGGATGGATCCAAGCTTGAGGCCAAGGTTGGAGCAGAGGAGAGGGCACTGGCAGGGGTGGTGTCCTGGGGAGGGAATGGAGCTGGGGAAGGAAGGAAGGAGCTGGAGCACCAGGAGCAGCTGAGGGAGCTGGGAAGGGGCTCAGCCTGGAGAAAAGGAGGCTCAGGGGGGACCCTGTGGCTCTGCACAGCTCCTGCCAGGAGGGGACAGCCAGGGGGGTTGGGGTTTGCTCTCAGGGAGCAAGGGAGAGGATGAGGAAACAGCCTCAGGCTGTGCCAGGGGAGGGTCAAGGCTGGATATTGGGAAATTGTTCATGGAAAGGTGTTCAAGTGTTGGCACAGGCTGCAGGATGGTGCTGGAGTCCCCATCCCAAAAACAAGTGTGGATGTGGCACCTGGGGCAGAGTTTAGGATGAATGTGGCAGTGCTGGGGGAATGGTTGCACTCAGTGATCGTGGAGGGCTTTTCCAAGCTTAGTGATTCCATGATTCTCTGACAGCAGAAGGGCTGGCAGGGATTGCCCCTGGAAGGGGAAGCTTCCTCTTGGCTGTGTTCATTTAGAACTGGAATGTTCCTGCTTTTATCTAAACCCTCTTTGAATAGTTACCAACTTCAAGGCATGTGTTCCTCATGCCTGCAAGAAACTTAACAGCAAAAAAACTTAATTCTCCTGCTGTCCCCTGTGTGTCTGCTCAGGGGCTGTCCTCCAGATAAATTCACTGGGGTCCTGGAAAGGACAGCAGCACATGGGAGTGCTGGAAACATTTCCAGAGGCAAGACTGTGCTCTGGGTAAAGCCACGGAGTGTTCAGGAGGCAGCAATCATTTTAATAACAGCAATCCTCTGAAGGTGAGGGGTGCTCAAAAAACAAGGAAAATGAAGCCAGAAGAGCAAGGAAAGAGCACGAGGATGGGATCAGTGGATGCCATCAGTGATGGGAGAAGTCCAGGTTGGTCAGGAGGAGAGAGATCCAGCTGGAAACTGAGTCAGGAGAAGGAATGCACAACTTACCTGCGGCCAGGACTGATAAAGAAGGTGAATAAGCTCCCAGAATCGCCTGTCTTCATCTCCCAGTAGGTAATTGCTGGGAATGTCGAGTCTGGGATTTCTCTTGTGTTAGTTTGGAGCCTCTGTGGACAGCATGGATGGGCCAGCAGGGGTGAGAATATAAATACTTGTGTAAGTTGAACGTGCCCTTGGAGGAGTGCTGGGAGAAATGCCACCAGCAGTCTTCAGAGTGTCCTGGAATCCTCAGAGCTGGTTGGGAAGGTGAGGAATCTGAGCTTTTTGTGGAGCAGACTGGGACAGTGGGAATGCTGGGGTTTTGTTGGGCTTGAGAACACGCTGTGGGCTTGCAGCATTTGTGATGTGCTGGTTGGGGAGATTCCCTAGGCTCAGACTGAGCCACAGCCATCCCCATCCCGTGCCAGGGATGCACCTCTGGGGGGTTAAACCCAGCCCAGGAGTGCTCCCACCCCGGCAGTGTTTGGGCTGGTGTTTGGCCACTCTGGGAATGCTGGTTGTGGTATTTAATTTGGAAGTGCACGTCCAGGATGTGTCCATTGCTTAGTGAGGATCTCGGAGGGCTCAGTAGAAGGTCCTCCCTGGACTCTGCCATGTACCTCTTCTCCTTTCTCTGCTATCCCCTCTGAAGTGTCTTCAGAGTTGCTTCTGCAGGGTGGGCATACTTATCTCTTCAGTTCCTCAATCTCATGGAGTCATCTTTGGGTTTCAGTGGGCTTCAAAGCTCATCTCATTCCACCTTCCACTGGCTGAGGTAGCTCCAAGCCCTGTTCAATCTGTCCTGGAACACTTCCAGGGATGGGGCAGCCACAGCTTCTCTGGGCAGCCCTCCCAGGGAAGAATTTCTTCCCAGGATCCCATCTAAGCCTGTCCTCTGGCAGTGGGAAACTGTCCCATCCATGTCCTCGTCCAAACTCCGTCTCCAGCTCTCTTGGAGTCCCTTGTAGGAACTGGCATTGTCTCTAAAGGTCTCCCTTCTCTTCTCTAGGCTTGGTTCCATGTACTTTCCCTCTTCCCCTTCAGCTCCAGCAGCTTCGCTTGGGGTTTAGAAGAAAATCAGGGAATCTTCGGGTGGCCCGGGAATGGCCGCTGTCCGCCGCCAGGGGGCGCCACCGAGCGGGGAGGGGGCGTGGCGGGGGCGTGGCCTCGCGGGGCCCATTCACGGCACTGCTAAGGGGGGCGGGGCGTGTGGGAGGCGGGGCCTCGAGGGGCCCATTTACGGCATTGCTGTGGGGGCGTGGCCTGTTGCCATGGCGCCGCGGGCCGTCCCGCCGCATGGACGCGGCCGCCGCCGGCCCGGTGGGTGCTCGGGGCCCGGTGGGTGCTCCCCCGGTGCCGGCGGACACCATCCGGCGCTGGCTGCGGGCCGAGGGCGCCGACCCCGCCGCCCCGGCCCAGGAGCAGCTGGGCCTGGCCTGGCGGCTGCTGCGGCGAGCGGAGACCCGGCTGGGCGAGCTGGAGCGGCGGCGGGCCCAGGACATGAGAGACGTAAGGGCCGGGAGCGGGGAACCGAGCTGGGCAGGGCTGCAGCACCAGGAGGGGCTGAGGCAGCTGGGGACGGGCTCAGCTGGAGAAAAGGAGGCTCAGAGGGGCCCTTCTGGCTCTGCACAGGAGGGGACAGCCGGGGGGTCGGGCTGTGCTCCAGGGAACAGGGACAGGAGCAGAGGGAACGGCCTCAGGCTGGGCCAGGGCAGGCTCAGGGTGGACACCAGGAGGAATTTCTTCACTGAAAAAGTTGTCGGGCATTGGCAGGGGCTGCCCAGGGCATGGTGGTGTCCCCATCCCTGGAGGTGTCCAAGGCACCATCTGAAGGATCGTGTTTCCTGGGCTGTTGGGGTCACTCCGGCTAGCTACAGACCCTTGCCCACACCACACTTCATAGACAAAGGTCAAAGATTGAGAAGCGCTCTCCTCCACGTGGGAAATGTCCTTTATTCCAAGACACACACCAGGCAGACAAACCCATGGGAGAAAGAGGGTGTTCCCTGGTGGCAGGGAGCTTTTATACCCCGGGATGGGGACAGAGGGAGAGGTGCACAGCCAGTGGGACACCAGTGAGGAGTGTGAGGGGAGGGGTAACCCAGGGGAGAGACCACCAGGGGGTACCAGGACAGGTGAGGGAAAGGCCAAGTGATGGGGGAAAGGGGTAACACAGCACATGATGTAACATAAGCTGTACAGTGCAATACAAAACTGTTCTGTGCAAATTCCCAGTCACCCAGTGCACGAGAACATCTAAACTGGTGCACCACAGCATCCAAAGACCAGCTGGATGTGTCACTCAGTGCTCTGGTCTGGTGTCAAGATAGAGTTTTATTGGACACCTGGGAGCCTTTTCCAGCCTCAGTGGTTCTGGAATACCCCCAGGGTTAACCCACCCAGGCCTGTGTCCCCTGCCCCCCCTCTGTGCAGCAGCAGGTTCAGGTGTGTCATTGCCTTGCTGCTGCCCTTGGGAACTTGGGGTTCATGTTCCCATTCCTCATACTGGGCATCAAAAAGCACTTGGTGCTCCCAGCAGCTCCCCCAGAGCTCCCCACATCCCAGCACCCCACAGCTGCATGACCTCCTGGTCTCCCAGTCCAGGCCAGCTGTTCCAAAGGCATGAGACATATTGTCCTGCAGATATCTGAGGTTATCCTGGAAACACGAAGGGGTGGAGAACATTTTGTGCTGCTGGCTCACCAGCAGACATGGGAATAGCAGGTTTTCTCTGTTCCAGGTGGAGAGCTACGTGGGCCATGTCCGTGCCCTGACAGAAGAGCGGGATGCCATCGCCTCCGAGTATGAGAGGGAGAATGAGCAGCTCAGGCTGGAGCTGGCACAGCTGCAGCAGCAGCAGGGTAACCCCTTCCCTCCAGCTGTGTGCCCTGGGAGTGCTCTGGCAGGTGTTTGGGTCTGGAAAGCTTCTTGGAGAGCTCAGCAGCTTTTTTCTGGGAGTTCTCAGTGGTTGCTTGAGAAGTTTCTTAAAGTGTTAGTGAGCTGTTCAAACAGATTTGTAATTGATTTAGAGGTTCTTGCCTGCTTTTACTGCCTTTACTCAGGGAGTTTGGCAGCTTCTCCATGTAGCTCTGTTGCACAAAGCATCTTCCAGAGGCTGTTTGAAGACCAGAACTGATGGTGCTCTTTGGTTCCCAGCTCTGAATTATCTGTCACTCCCTTCAAGTCAGTGAATTTTCTCTTTACTTTGGTTTACACAAACCCCACGTTTTTTAAAACAGTGGGGGCAACAGGAATTGTTTGTTCTGATGATTCAAAACTTGGGTGTTCATTGTCACAGAATTCCAGGATGGTTTTGGTTGGAAGAGACCTTGAAGCTCATCCAATTCCACCCCCAGCCATGGACAGGGAGACCTTCCATTAGACCAAGTTGCTCAGGGCCCCTCAGAGCTTCAGTAATTTTGTTTAAACAAATTACTTCACTTATTTGACTTGAAATGATTTATTTTCAATCTCTAGGGTCACTTTTGCTAGGTTTAATTCTTGATTTTCTTCAGTCTTCTGTTGCACTTTCAGTGGTGCTCATAGCCCATGTCACCATTAACTCTTTTAGTGAGCTGTATTGTCCTGGTCCCAAGTTAAAATTTTGGGTGATGGCACAACTTTAAGAGTTTGTTGCACTTTCAGTGGTGCTCATAGCCCATGTCATTAACTCCTTTAATGAGCTGTATTGTCCTGGTCCTAAGATAAAATTTAGGGTGATGACACAACTTTAAGAGTTTCTTTGTGATTCAGGCTTTGGGACAGCAAATACAGGAGTTTGGGGGGAATTCTGAGCATGGGTTGGGTTTTCAGGGAGCACATCTGGTGGTGTGACTTTCCAAAGATGGATTTACCTAAAAATGTGATGTCTGAGTACTTAAAGCCGTGGTTTGTGGTGAAAAGGCTGCTTACAAAGGCTGAAATGAATAAAGAGCTCTTGGGAGTCTGGCTGTGGCAGAAAACTCCGTTCCTGGCTCTGTCCCTTTCCACAAGGTGTCAGGAGAGAGGCAGAATGTCCCCAAAGCTGGAACGCGCCGATTTCCTCCTGGTAGCTCTGCTGCTCTGGACTTTCTCCGTTCCTGAGGGGCTCCTGGGGCTGCTGAGCACCCCTGGAATGGAAGCTGAATCCTTGTCCATGGATCTCGGGGTGTCTGGGAGGGATTGCTGGTTGCTGCCCAGTGTTGTCCCCGAGGGGGTGTGTGGCTTTGGTGCTGTAGAGTGTTTCTGGAGGGATTTTTTTGGGATATCACTCAGGTTTTGAGGTTCAGGACTTGTTGTTGACTCTCTGCTGGCATTGGCTGCTATCCTGGGATGTGTGTGGATGATTTAAGAATCTGGAAGCCCTGCTCCCTCTGGGCTGTCACCTGCAGGGAGAGGTGCCAGCACTGAGATGTTTTGGGGTCCTTGTAGAGCTTTATTGAGTGACTGGTCCTTTTATCCAGGTTTGTTCAGCTGGAGCAGAGGAGGCTGAGGGTGAGCTGAGGGCAGAGCTCATCCCGGGCTGCAGCTCCTCTGGAGCAGGATTTTATTTCTGCTCTCTGGGACCAGGGAAAGGACATGAGGGAGGGAACCTTTTCCTGACAGCTCCTCCAGCTCCCTCAGCTGCTCCCCAGGGTTTGTGCTCCAGGTCTTGTTCCCCCTGTTATTTTTGCAGGACAGCCAGGTGTCTCAGCAGGCAGAGGATGATCCAGTGGCTGGAGAAGGGGCTTGTGGAAAGACAGACTGTGATCTGCTGGGGGTGTTAAAAATGTGGGCAAGCCAAGAGGACAGGGTGTTGGCTGGTGGCTTTGGAAGCACTGAAAGGAGAATGGGAAGGGGCAGTTGGGGCCAGTGGCTGTTCAGGCCGGTGATACAAAGCGGGAGGCTGAGCTGTGAATGGTGCAGGGTGAAGGACAGGATCTGTGCTGACACACCTGAGCTGAGAGCTGGGGAAGGGAGCCCCACGTGGGCTCTCAGGTCTGAGCACACTTCCTCTTCCAACAGCAGGCAAACAAATCAGAAACTCTGCTTGGTCTGGGATCACTTAGAGCAACTTGATCTGCTAAAAGCTGTTTCATAAAATCATGGAATTATGGAATGGGTTGGGTTGGAAGGGATCTTAAGCTCATCCCATTCCACATCCTACCATGGGCAGGGACAGCTTTCAGTATCCCAGGCTGCTCCAAGCCCCATCCAGCCTGGCCTTGACACTCCCAGGGATGCAGGGGCAGCCACAGCTGCTCTGGACACCCTGTGCCAGGGCCTGCCCACCCTCACAGCCAAGAAATTCTTCCCATATCCCATCTAACCCTACTCTAAGTCAGTGGGAAGCCATTCCCCCTTGTCCTGGCACTCCAGGCCCTTGTCCAAAGTCTCTCTCCAGCCTCCCTTAGGCCCTGAGGATAGTTGGTGCTGGTGACTGACACTGAGCAGCTTTTGAAGATAAAAAGTGAATCTCTGCTCATACATTTGCTTCCTGCCCATCCCGGGCTCACAGGTTCCTGCAGGGAGCAGCCAAGGCTGGTTGATGCTGGGCCATCGAGCTGAGCTGAGCTGAGCTGTCACCTCATCTGATACCTCTGCCCAGTGACATTTTTCCTTCCCTCCAGGCAGTTCCTGATCCGTTTCTGATGCTCTCGCTGAATGCACTGGGTGTTGTTGGAGGGCAAATCGATGGCGCTCCCAAAAGCCTTCCTGAAAAACAACTGGAATGGCAGGGAAACACGGCACTGGGGGAGCTGCCTGGATTTGTTTAAAAGGTGGAATAAAAAGAAGACACAGTCATGGTCTGAGCTTGTTTGTTTGTTGTAACAGCTGGGCTGGTAAAACATACCCAGCAGGTGTGGGCTGTGGTGGGGTGAAGTGGCTGCTGTTCCTCAGAGTATTCCTAGGGTAGGAAAATACAAATATTAATATAAAATTTGCTTCCAAACAAGCGTGGACAGAGGTGGGAGATGCCAGTGGAGCTGTTGTGTGACAGTGCCTGGGGCAGGGGTTGGCTTTTCCCAAACACTGGATTGGGAAGGGAAGGGGTTTGTAAGGAGTCAGTGGGGTTTACTCACAGGTAACCTGTGCTGTGTGGGCAGACCCCCCCTCATCCTCACAAATCCTTCTTCCTCTCCAGCCTCTGGAATATGTGTGGGATCTAAAACGATGCCACTTCACCCTGCATTGCAGGCTGGGGACTGACAGGTGAAGGTGGCTCAGGGGGTCCCATCCTGGGCATAAAGCAGAGCAGTTTCTGTTCATTTTTAGCAGGGATTTGGCAAAACCGTGGGAGGCAGCTGCCAGGCAGTTTGGCTTCAGTTTAGTGTGATCCATGGGCTCTTCCCGAGGCACGCAGAGCAGTGTTGATCCTGCAAGCTGCCCTGCTTGCTGTGCTGCAGCAGGAGGTGCAGGGCAGCCCAGTCTGACCCTGTGCTGAGCAGGCTGTGCTGTCTCCCTGGGAGGATCCCGGGGCACCGCAGGGTGTTTTCCATCCACGGGCTGCGGAGTGGAAACATGGCATCGATCAGAGCCTCGGGGCGTGCTCTGCTGCCTCCTGTGTTCGGCCATGAGAGAGAGGGACAGGCTTGTCCAGGGCTCTGTGTGTCCTGTGCCTGAGGAATATTTGCTCTGCTGTGCAGCTCTAGATCCCTGAGCAGGGAAAGAGTCCATCTACCATCTACCATCTACCATCTACCATGACTGTCCATCCTACCTCTCCACAGCTCCCTGCACTTCCCATCCTACAACGCTTGGAATAAACCACTTTATAATGTGGTTTGGGCTAGAAATTTGGTCTGTTGGTTTTGGTTTTAATACGAATTACACAGGGAGTGTTTGAAAAGCCCTCCCCTAGCTCCACAAGCTTAGGAGCTGCTGCCCTCATCATGCCAGACACCAAAGGTTCCTCATTTTCTCCTGGCAGGTAAATTCCAGCCACACCAACCAGAGGGTCTTTTTAACAACTGTTGGTTGCACAAACACAATGGTGCCCAGCTATAAACTGACTCCTGCAAGTCTTGTTGCCACCTTTCTGCCTTAGGGACCCTTGAATCTGGAAGATTTTCCCAGTACAGAGTCTTCCTGGCTATAATTTTTAGATAAACATTGAAGCACTGGCAGTTTAATTCTTAAAGGGGTTCAGATCTGCCTCCTTCCTAGACATTCCTTGGGACTCTCCAAAATAGTGGTGCTCTCTAGGAGTGATCTGGTATTTTGTGTGCCTCCTGCCAAAGAAAACACCTGTGACTCTGTGTCCATCTGTTTGCTTTCTCTCCAAGGTTGGACTTGATGATCTGAAGGTGGGAACTGATGATCTTGGAAACTGATGATCTTGGAAGTCTTTTCAGCCTTAATGATTCTCTGGTTCTCTCAGTATCTGTTCAATCTGGTGTTTAGTTTCTACCAAGCTGTACTTGGGGTTGAAGGGGCTGAGGATAAACCAGCTTGGGAGAACTCTGCCTGGGGGGAGCAGGTCCCATCACATGCTTGGCAGGCAGGGAAGGGTATGTGAAGAGAAACCTTGGGACAGAGGGAAGAGGGCTGAGATAATGGATAGCAAGGAATGGGAGGCAGTGAGGGAAGTGGGAAGCAGGAGAGACTTGAGGAGCTGTTGGGCTCCAGGAGAAACGGGGCTGTTGCAGTGATAAATGTTTAGAGGAACTGGGATAGATCTCCAGGAAACCCTTTGTTTCTCCTCTGCTGACACCAAGCCTTGCCTTGCCTTGCAGAAATGCAGCTGAAGGAGGTGGAGGAGATGCTGGAGCAGGAAGGTCTGTCCCAGATCTCCTGCAGTGCTGCCAGCGAGCAGGTCGCGTATTTCCTGGTGGAGCGGGCGGCGCTGCTGGGAAAGCTGGAGGTGGCAGCCCGGCACCTGGGATCCCACAGCAGGATTGAGGGGCTCCAGGTACCTCCTGCTCCCTGGCTTTGCCTGCCTGCGAGCTGTGGGAAAGGAATATTTGTGTGATATTGCCTGTCTCTGAGGCCACTGTGGAGTCTTGGGTCTGAAATACTTGAAAGAATTACAAGAAAGGTGGAGTGAGAGTATTTGTGAGAGTCAGGACAAGGGGGAATGGTTTCAAACTGACAGAATATGTCTAGATTTGGTATTGGGAAGGAATTCCTGGCTGTGAGGGTGGTGAGCTTCTCAGGTTGCCCAGAGAAGCTGTGGCTGCCCTATCCCTGGAAGCATCTGAGGCCGGGTTTGGTTTGGAGCAACCTGGGATAGTGGAAGGTGTCCCTGCTCATGATAGGGTATGGAATGGGATGAGCTTTAAGATCACTTCCAGCCCCAAACCAGTCTGGGATTCCAGGGTTCTAAGTCACTGCCTTTCTTAATTCTCACCCTTTGCACTTGATTTACTCCCACATCTGCACAGGGATAGTGAAATGGGTTATTTGTAATCCTGTGCTGAGGAGTTTGTGATGTGTTTGGTGTAAGGATCTTCACTGGGTAAGAATGACTTTCTCTGGGTTCAGCTGGAGCAGAGGAGGCTCAGGGCAGATCTCACTGGGGGCTGCAGCTTCTCCTGAGGGGCACCTCCAGTCTCTGCTCTTTGTGAGCAGGGCCAGGACCTGAGGGAGCAGCTGGAGCTGTGCCAGGGGTTGTGGTATTTTCAGGGTCCCCCTATGAAGAAAAGTGATGAATCTGACTCCATGTTTTTATAATTTTTTAATAATAATAATTTATTATTTTATGATATTATATTAAATAATGTTATACTAAAACTATACTAAAGAATAGAGAAAGGATAAAGAAAGCTACAAAGAATGATAATTAAAATAATTATAATATTATAATTAAAAATAATATTATATAATTAATTATATAATTATAATTAATATAAAATAATTAAAAGCTTGTGACTCTCTCTTCCAGAGCGTCAACACAGCTGGCTGTAATTGGCCAGTAAGTAAGAACAATTTACATGCAACTAATGAAACATGCACCTGTTGGTAAATAATGTCTAAATCACATTCCAAAGCAGCAAAACACAGGAGAAGCAAATCAGATAATTATTTTTTTCATTTTTCTCTGAGGTTTCTCAGCTTCCCTGGAGAGGAGTCCTGGGCAGAGAGATTTTCCAGAAAATATGATAGTAACAGGGGGGTTTAGGTTGGATATCAGGTTCTTACCCCAGAGGGTGCTGGCACTGCCCAGGCTCCCCAGGGAATGGTCCTGGCCCCAGCACTGCCAGAGCTCCAGGAGGGTTTGGACAGGCTGGGATTGTTGGGGTGTTTGTGCAGGGCTGGGGATTGGACTGGATGATCCTTGTGGTCTCTTTCAGCTCAGGATATTCTGATTCTATGGTTCCAAGGCCATCACTTTCCACCTACTCATGACTTACGGCCATGTCTCTGTGGAACTGGAGTCCAGGAGTGCTCTGGGGTTCCAGGAGCTGCTGTTTGTCCCTGAGGTCCCAAGCTGTGAGGAGGGAGCAAGACCTCAAATCGGGGTCAGGGCCCCTTCTCTTGTTCCTTTCTGTTTAATCAGGTGAAAGACACACTGGGGATGTGTTTTCCCAGAAAACTGTCTCCCTGACAGAACTGATTACTCTCCCAGTGATGTCATTCCTGTCTGTGCCTTCGGAGCAGAAGCTGTTGATTAAACACTCCATTGTTCCCGGGAGCATCCCACTTGTTTTGCAGAACCATTAGTGTTACAGGTTAAGGTGTTAATTGCTCCTTTTACTCTGTTTACTGGAATATGTGGCCTTGCTTGTTCCCAGCTGGCCCGTTCCACTCTTGGAATCAAGGGCTGGACAGGGATGAATTCAGCTTTTAGCCAGACTGCTCAAGCAGAATTGATTGTTTTATTGCATCCCCAGAAAAGGCGGGATACAAACCTGCCTCTCTGTGTGGTCAGCTCTGAGAAATCCATGTGAAATGCCTTCTGGATTCATGGCATGTGCTAGCTCACCCTCTGAAGTGCCAAATATCAATTGCAACCAACTGCTGAGCCTTAGGGCCCCTTCAGTGCAGATGCAATGGAGCAGCAATGTGTAACTCCATAAAAAAGAGGGACATGGAGCAGTGCTCCAGGGGAGCTCCTGCAGTTCAAGTCCCAGTGCCTGGGTTGGGGCAGTCTGAGAATGAGCACAGGCTGGAGGAATTCATGGAGAGCAGCCCTGTGGGATGGGTTTGGGAGTTCTTGTGGGTTGAAAGTTGGACATGAGCCAGGAGTGTGTGTTTGCACCCCAGAGCCCAAACAACATCATGACTCTGCTCCTCTCTGAAGAGACTCCCCCAGCACTGCTGCTCCAGCTCCAGGATCCCCAGCACAGCAAGGACCTGTTGGAGCAAAGCCACGAGATGCTCTGAGGGCTGGAGCCCCTTGGGAGCCAAGCTAGGAGAGATGGAGGTGTCCACCTGGAGAAGGCTCTGGAGAGACCTTAAAGCTCCTTCCAGTGCCTGAAGGGGCTCCAGGAGAGCTGGAGAGGGACTTTGGACAAGGGTCTGGAGTGCCAGGACAAGGGGGAATGGGGGAGGAATTCCTGGCTGTGAGGGTGGGCAGGCCCTGGCACAGGTGCCCAGAGCAGCTGTGGCTGCCCCTGGATCCCTGGCAGTGTCCCTGGCCAGGCTTGACAGGGCCGGGAGCAGCCTGGGACAGTGGAAGGTGTCCCTGCCCATGGTGGGACACGGTGGAATAGGATGGGCTTTAAAGTCCCTTCCATTCCAAGCCTTTCTGAGATCCCATGGTTGTGAGTCTCCCAGTGTTACTCTAAGTGAGCCACTCACACTCAGTGACAGCTCTGTGGGTGAAGCTGAGCCCTCCAGCTCTCATGGGCAGGAAATCAGAGATCTTAAAAAAATAATGAACCCACAGAGCTCCCAGGAGGAGCTGGGAAACTGAGGGATTTTCCCAAGGGCTTGGGATAGCTCTGGTGGAAACATTCCTGTCAAGTATAAGACATGGTAACCCTAGCCCTTCTAAGCCAAGATATGTTGGAAGTGAAAATCCCCCTCATGATCCTGAGGGACATGTGGCAGTGCTGAGGGACACATGGCCCTGTGCTGTCATTCAGGAGCATCTCTGTGTGCAAGGCTGGCTCTGCTCACACCTCTCAGGCACTGGGAGCTGAATTCCCACAGCAGCAGGAATGCACACAGCTTCCTGGGGAGACAGAAATAAGGAAATGCACATTTTCCTGCTGGCTCATAGTTGGGATTTCATAGAATCACCAAGGTGATTGCCAAAGCCCTCCAAGATCACTGAGTTCAACCATTCCCCCAGCACTGCTAGGGCCACCACTAACCCACGTCCCCACATCCACATCCACAGGGTTTGAGAACACTTCCAAGGGATGGTGACTCCACCACTGCCCTGGGCAGCCCATTCCAAAGTCTGACCACCCTTTCCATGAAGAAATTTTCCCTAATATCCAATCTAAACCTCCCCTGGCATAGCTTGACACCATTCCCACTTGTTTTGTCCCTGTTCCCTGGGAGCAGAGCCTGACCCACCCCAGCTGTCCCCTCCTGTCAGGAGCTGTGCAGAGCCAGAAGGGCCCCCCTGAGCCTCCTTTTCTCCAGGCTGAGCCCCCCCAGCTCCCTCAGCTGCTCCTCATCACACTTCTGCTCTCCCTCATTTCAGGTTTGTCCTTAAACAGATTGGAAGGGCTTTTACTGGGTTTAGAGTAAAAAACCAGAGCCCAAACAGTGTCACAGGGAACACCTCACATTTCAGGCAGGGCTGCCTGGTGGGCATCTCCTGCCTTTGCTTTGTCCCAGAACTGGAGATGAGGAAATCCACATTTTCCAATGGGACCAGTGTGGAGAGGGTGACAAACAGCTCTGCCTTGGTCTCATCACCACAGGGCTCCTCATTTCCATTGGCACATTAACCCTTGTGCTTCAGTTCTGCAGGGAGGAGCTGGAGGGGGAACGAGCATCACCTGCAGGGCTTGTGGGAGACCTGGATGAGGCCCCACAGAGGCTGGTGGTGTCCCAGGAAGAAATCCAGAGCGTGGCAGAAGGGCTGGAGACACAAAGCAAAGAGCAGAGTGGAGCAGGTAAGTGCTGCTCTGGTGGCCCCTCCTGGCCTGCTCTTAGCCCTGGGGAGGCGGAGGCAGTCTGTCCTCTCCTTGGAATGTGGGAAAATCAGTGCCAGGAGTCAGCCTGCTCCGTAGGAGGTGGGAATGCAGTCCTTAACAGTCACAAATCCACGAATTCTGAGACTGGGCTTCTCTGATCTGTGGTGCAGCTGCACAGTCTGGGTGAATTTCCTATCCCTGGGAATTTCCTGTCTCCTTTCCAGGGAGAGCTTTCTGCCCTGGGAGGGGATGGAGAGGGAATGATGACTTTGTCTAGAAGCAGAGTAGCTGAATTGCCATGTGCACAGGGTCAGCAGAGCTGGACCTCTTATCCCAGAGTTCTCCAGATGCAGTTTGGGATGTTGCCTCTATAGGATCCTTACTTAGCAAGTGCAGCAGTGGGGAAGTGACTGGGTACATTGTCCTTGCTGAGAATATTCCCTTTACCTCCTTCTTGAAATAACCCTTGACCAGCCCTGAAGTGTTATTTATTAGTAGGATTTTTTAATAAATTCTGGCTGTAGAAATAACCAGCTTTCTGGAGGGAGATGTGGTAAAGCTGCTCTTGGAGTGAAATGCCCATGGAAAACGTCCTTAATGACACACAGTTGTCTGGATGCTCTTTTGGGGGACTCCTTGCATTGTCCCCAAATCTGTGATGCAGAATTCCATTATTCCAGGTGACTCACCCCAGCCCCATGTGCCTTTGCAGGGACCAACCACCTTGAGGAGACTGGCACTATCTGGGGCAGGTTGGGAGCAGAAGTGCAGGTCCTGGGGCTCCCCTTGGTGCTCACACACAGCACAAGGACCTGAGAGTTTCTCTCCAGCCCCATCAGTTTCTCTCCAGCCCTAGCAGCTCATTTCCAGCTCTAGAAGCTCCTCTCCAGCCCCAGCAGCTCATTTCCATTCCCATCAGCTCCTCTCCAGCCCCATCAGCTCCTCTCCAGCCCCAGCAGCTCCTCTCCAGCCTCCAGTCCCATCATTCCCAGCCTTTCCATCCCTGTTCTGGGTGGGGATTGATCCACAGTCCCCAGGGATGGGCTGAGTGCTGTGGCAGCTCCAGTGCTGGCTCTGGAGCTCGGGCAGGCTCCAGCCTGGGGCTCCCATGGATCGCAGCCTGCGCAGGGAAATCTGTGCTGTGTGAGGTGCTGGATGAATGCAAGGCTTTGCAAAATGTGAGTAGGGGTTTAATGCTTGTTTTGTCTCTGGGGTTTGCCTCTGTGTGTGCAAAATGAGGGTGGCAATGTCCCAGTGGCTTCCCTGGTTCTGTATCTCTGTGTGGCTTCTCCTCCTGGTGAGCTCTGAGCCAGCTGCTCTGGGAATTAATTGATTTGCTACTAAAAATCTAGACTGGGGTCACTCATCTTTAGTAAAACTCCCTTAAACAGCATTTTTTGGTTCAGTGATAACTTGTGTGCATTCCTGACCAGTTTGAGCCCAGTTAGTGGGATTTTGGTGAGGAAAGGCTTTAAATGGTATTTAACAAAGTGCATAAGGAATGTTGTGGGGTTTTTCCAAAGCAGAACTCAGCTGCCACATCCAAACATTGTTGTCCTTGTGGAATCATCCCTGTGGTCAGCCCTGAAGGCTGACCCTGAGAGGGAAAACGGCGTGGTCCGGATTTTTGAAAGAGGAAAAGAGGTGGAATTTTATTGTCCTTTCATCAACCTTTAAATCATCATTTTATTATAATTTTATAATAAATTTGTGTAGTGGTCAACAGGCTTTTCAGTAAAATTTCCGTTCTGGTGGAATATGTGGGTTGGAATGAGATGATCTTCAAGGTCCCCTTCCAACCTAGCCCATTCTGTCATTCTGTGGAGATATTCTTTGCTTTTTATTTTAAATGACACAACTGAAAATCCTTGTTTGAAAAAGGAAACTGTTGCTTTTTCCAAGGTGGAACCAAAAAAGTAGATTTTTTTTTGCCTGAACAGAAGTCAATTTAAACTTAAATTTCCTGTGCCCAGTGTTAAGCTGAAAAGAGAATAATATTTCTTCCCTTTTCTCTAAGGAAAATTGTCTCGGGTACCAGTGTGTCCTCAGCATGTGCTCCTAATGCAAACACCTCTTCCTATTTCTGCCCTGGAAGTATTGGGAATGTGCATTCATTGGTGTTGGGATTAATTTATTCATTGATCCATTGATCCATAGAAAAATTGGTGTGCAGTTTTTCCAGCTGTAGCCATTCCATTAAATTTTAATGTGCAGACAGCATCAATACATTGGCTGGGATTGTGTTCCTGCTTGTGGCAGTGATGGATTTTGTGGTGAGAATGTTGAGGTTTTCCAAAGAGAAAGTGAAACCCATATTAGATGAGGTGAGTGATTTACATGAGGTTTACCTCCATGATCCAGAGGTAAACTGAATCCCTGGAATAATGCTGGAGAGACTGCTGTTGAACCTGGATCCCCAGGGATATCAACCTCTGCTGTGGGAGGGAGAGGGCCTGGATGTGGGATGTGTTCCCACATGGATGTGTCCCATGGGGATGTGTTCCATGAAGATGTGTTACCACGTGGATGTGGGATTGTGGGATGTGCTCCCTGGATGCAGGATGTGTTTCCAGGGGATACAGGCTGTGGCCGCAGTGGATGAGGGATGTGCTTCCATGTGGATGCAGGATATATTCCCAGTGTGTGCAAGATGCATTCCCATGTATTCCCAGTGGATATGGGATGTGTTCGCAGTGGATGTGGGATGTGTTCCCAGTGGATGTAAGGTGTATTCCCGTGTATTCCCTTGGATATGGGGTGTGTTCCCAGTGGATGTGTTCCCAGTGGGTGTGGGATGTGTTCCCAGTGAATGTGGGATGTGTTCCCATGTGGATGCAGGATGTATTCCCAGTAGATGTAGGCTGTGTTCCCCTGTATTCCCAGTGGATGTGGGATGTGCTTCCATGTGGATGCAGGATATATTCCCAGTGGGTGTAAGATATATTCCCATGTATTCCTAATGGATGTAGGATGTGTTCCCATGTGGATGCAGGATGTATTCCCATGTATTCCCAGTGAATGTGGAATGTATTCCCAGTGGATATGGGATGTGTTCCTAGTGGATGCAGGATGTATTGCTACGTGCTCCCAGGGGATGTGGGATGTGTTCCCAGGGGATGTGGGATGTGTTTCCAGGGGATGTGGGATGTGTTACCACGTGGATGCGGGATGTGCTCCCAGTGGATATGGAATCCCACATCCCAGTGGATGTGGGATGTGTTTCCAGGGGATATGGAATCCCACATCCCAGTGGATGTGGGATGTATTCTCAGTGAATGTGGGATGTGTTCCCATGTGGATGCAGGATGTATTCCCAGAAGATGTAGGCTGTGTTCCCCTGTATTCCCAGTGGATGTGGGATGTGCTTCCAGGTGGATGCAGGATGTATTTCTATGTATTCTCAGTAGATGTGGGATGTGTTCCCAGGGGATGTGGGATGTGTTCCCAGGGGATGTGGGATGTGTTCCCAGGGGATGTGGGATGTGTTCCCAGGGGATGTGGGATGTGTTCCCAGGGGATGTGGGATGTGTTCCCAGGGGATGTGGGATGTGTTCCCAGGGGATGTGGGATGTGTTCCCAGGGGATGTGGGATGTGTTCCCAGGGGATGTGGGATGTGTTCCCAGGGGATGTGGGATGTGTTCCCAGGGGATGTGGGATGTGTTCCCATGTGGATGCAGGATGGATTCCCATGTATTCCCAGTGAATGTGGAATGTATTCCCAGTGGATATGGGATGTGTTCCTAGTGGATGCAGGATGTATTTCTATGTATTCTCAGTAGATGTGGGATGTGTTCCCAGTGGATGTAAGGTGTATTCCCGTGTATTCCCTTGGATATGGGGTGTGTTCCCAGTGGATGTGTTCCCAGTGGGTGTGGGATGTGTTCCCAGTGAATGTGGGATGTGTTCCCATGTGGATGCAGGATGTATTCCCATGTATTCCCAGTGGATGCAGGATGTGTTTCCAGGGGATACAGGATGTGGTCGCAGTGGATGTGGGATGTGCTTCCAGGTGGATGCAGGATATATTCCCAGTGTGTGCAAGATGCATTCCCATGTATTCCCAGTGGATATGGGATGTGTTCCTAGTGGATGCAGGATGTATTTCTATGTATTCTCAGTAGATGTGGGATGTGTTCCCAGTGGATGTAAGGTGTATTCCCGTGTATTCCCTTGGATATGGGGTGTGTTCCCAGTGGATGTGTTCCCAGTGGGTGTGGGATGTGTTCCCAGTGAATGTGGGATGTGTTCCCATGTGGATGCAGGATGTATTCCCATGTATTCCCAGTGGATGCAGGATGTGTTTCCAGGGGATACAGGATGTGGTCGCAGTGGATGTGGGATGTGCTTCCATGTGGATGCAGGATATATTCCCAGTGTGTGCAAGATGCATTCCCATGTATTCCCAGTGGATATGGGATGTGTTCCCAGTGGATGTGGGATGTATTCCCAGTGGATGTGGGATGTGTTCCCAGTGGATGTGGGATGTGTTCCCAGTGGATGTGGGATGTATTCCCATGTATTCCCAGTGGGATGTGGGATGTGCTCCCAGTGGATGTGGGACATGTCCATGCTGCCTCCCACCTTTCCCACGTGTGGGATCAGCCTGGAATCCGTGCTTGGAGCGTGGGCAGGCAGGGCCTGGCTGCCCACGCTTGCTGGTGCTGTGTGTGCAGACAGGAGTGAGCTGCAGAGGGCCATGGAGCACAGCAGCCGGCTGGACAAGGAGATCCTGGCGCTGCGGGCACGGGTCCAGACGCTCGACCTGGAGAGGAAAGCCTTCCTGGAGCTGGTGAGGATCCACCCAGCCAAGCCAGCAGCCCTGGGCTGGCTCCTGGAAGCCATCTCTGCTCCCAAACCTGCCCTGCCTTCCCCTTTCCCCTCCCTGTTCTGTGCCCAGTCTTTCCAGAGCTGCAGTTTGGCTGTGTCAGGGTTTGTGGAACAGGAAAATTTGGGAAATGGGCAGAATGCAACACTGGGAGCTTCCTTCAGTGCAGGAGGAGTTTGAAGGACTCCAACTGAGTGGTGGCTTGAAGACTTTGGGACACATTTTCCTGTGCCCATGGAGAGGGATCAGCTCCCTGCTGATCAGGGTTTACCAACTCAAGTGTGTAAATAGAGTAAGGAACGTGTGTGCCTTGCCCTGGACTGGATTCAAGAGTTCAGTTTACCTAAGTTTAGCCTAAAACCCCCACCAGCTGGTTAGAAATGCATTTGAAATTTATGCTCATTTTTGATTCCTCTCAGCCCCTTTGGTTTTAACTGAGCCACATTGATTGATTTGCTTATTTTCTGTGGGTCCCCTTAGTGAAATGACTGACATTACTATTACATTACTATTAGTTAAATGCTTGGTGTTAAACAGCTGGGATTCTCTAAATGCCACCTAGAATTAAGGAGCAATTAAGGAACTATCAACCAGATAATTCCTTAATGAGGTTGCCAACAGGGAAGGGATAGAAGAGCAGCTGGAGCATCCACAGGATCTCAGCCAATCCCTCAGGATAAGGAACAGTAATACATGAACAACAAACATGAAAATGGATGTTCAGCAGACCTCAGAGCAGGTGTTGTGTGTTGCAGGTGGAGCAGCTGAAGGAGGAGATCTGTGAGTACCAGCGGAGCGAGAGGCCAGAGCCTCCGGCGGCAGAGGGACTTGGAATGGCCTCACTGCAGGTGTTTCCAAGGGCTCTTTCTTTGTCATTCCAGAAAAACATGGTCCCCTCTGCATCCCAGACCCTAGCTGGCTGTAAGAACATGGATGTTCTGGGGGCTCCTAGGGCCAGGAGATGGAGCTGGTGTGGCTCGTGTGTTTTATTTCTGAGAGACGCGCGTGGCCTTGGAGTCACTCTGTGCTCACATGGGAAAGATGGGAGCTCTTGGAGCTGAATGAGGAGGCCAGGGAGATGCTCCGAGGGCTGGAGCCCCTCTGCTCTGGAGCCAGGCTGGGAGAGCTGGGGGTTTCACCTGGAGAAGGCTCCAGGGAGAGCTCAGAGCCCCTTGCAGTGCCTGAAGGGGCTCCAGGAGAGCTGGAGAAGGACTTGGGACAAAGCCTGGAGTGCCAGGACAAGGGGGAATGGCTTTCCACTGCCAGAGGGCAGGGTCAGATGGGATGTGGGGAAGGAATTCCTGCTGTGGGGGTGGTAAGGGTGCCCAGAGCAGCTGTGGCTGCCCCTGGATCCCTGGAAGTGCCCAAGGCCAGGCTGGAGCAACCTGGGATAGAGGAAGGTGTCCCTGCCCATGGAACAGGATGAGCTTTAAGGTCCCTCCAGCCCAATCCATCCTGAGATTCTTTGATGTCAATCCTAGTTGTGTGCTAATGTTGATTTTCTCTCAGGCACAGGGCACACAGGAAGAAGCAGGAGCTGATGGAGACCCTGGTGCCAGCAGAGCTGCCCCATATCAGGAACATGGAGATCAGGGTGCTGAAACTCTCCACAAAAGGTGACAGGTGTAGAAATCCTTCACCCCTTGTACTTCCACTGGTTCCTGGTGCTGTGAATCTGGTGCTCTCTCTTGCAGGATTATTTGATTATTGAACTGTTTTAAATACTCTTTAGACTTTGTTCTTCTGCTCCCAAATGGGAAGATTTGGAGGAGATGCAGTCCTGAGGAATCACTTCCTCCAGTTAAATGCTGATACTTCCTCCAGTTTGTTGCTTTCCTAAAAGAAGAGAGTTGGGCTTTTGGAGCTCTCCACAGACAAAAAGAAAACTGTTGTTTAAAAATAATTTTAAATTATTTAACTGTTTTAGTGCTGGGAAGTTTTCTTTGGATTTGGTTGCTCTCCAGGAGTGCACCAAAACACCTGCCTTTCAACCATAAATATGTAAACAGGGATTTCTAAGGGAATTCAAAGCTTTGTTCTCCCAGTGCCTGCTCAGGAGGTGCTGCACCTCATCTGGCAGGTTCAGGGAGGAAAGGGGAGCTGATCCTCTTCAAAAAGCCCTCTGACCCTTTTCCCTTCAGACTCCCAAGCCTGTTCTCCACCTCAGGCAGCTGAGTTTGCTGTTGTCTCTGTGCTGTTGGCAGCCTCGTGCCTGGCCTGTTTCCTGCCAGACCTTCCTCATCCCTTGTGTAGATCCCACCTAAACAAGGACAGGCACAGGCCATGCTGCACGTGAGACTGGAAATCAGCAGGACAGTGTGAGAACAACCTTGGGATGCAGGTGCAGCCTTGGTGATGCTGGGTTTTGGTGTGCAGGTGCCGGGAAGCCGTGGAGAGCGTCGAGGGCAGGAATTCCCAGCTCCTTCACAAGCTGCAGAAGCTGGAGCAGGAACGGGAGGGGCTGGTTGAGCACAACGAGGAGCTGGAGTCAATCCTGGGAGAGACACAGATCCAAACCAAGCCAGAGAAGCAGCAGCTGGAGAGCAAGGTGGAGGGGCTGCACCAGAAAGTGAGTAAGGAACAGGAGAGACAAGGTCTGGGTTTCTTTCATTCCATCTACTTTTCTCTCTGACTGGAAAAACAGAATGATGTGTGACCTAGCCCTGCACACTGCTGTGTTTGGTTTGACAAGAAAAACAGCCAGAAAAATCTGCTGGTTTGGGAGAGAGGGGGAAGGAAAAAGTACCAGCAGGGAGTAAATGACTCTTGGTTGGAAGTGCAGGTTCCTGTTATGGCAGTGTTGTGTTTTCCATCTCCTGGTCTCCCTCACAGAATCCCAGCCTGGTTTGACTGGGAAGGGAACTTAAAGCCCATGGAGTCCCACCCCTGCCATGGCAGGGACACCTTCCACTGTCCCAGGCTGCTCCAAGCCCTGTCCAGCCTGGCCTTGGGCACTGCCAGGGATCCAGGGGCAGCCACAGCTGCTCTGGGCACCTGTGCCAGGGCTTGCCCACCCTCCCAGGGAACAATTCCTTCCCAATATCCCATCTGACCCTACTGTCTGGGGCACTGATGCTCCTTGATCCCAGGAAATATCAGCAGTTAAATGTCCTGGTGGCAGAAAATTGCATCTTGGCTTTTCCCCAGGGACAGGATCTTGGAGATGTGTCACACGGTGCTGGGTGTGAAGGCCCAGGATCTGCAGTGCCTGGGAGCATCCCTCTGAACACACAACTTGAGGGACAGGGAGTTATTCCTCTCTTGTGGTGCAGCAGCTGCTGTGAGTGGGGCTGGTCACCTCTCTTGGAAGAGCTCTGAGATCCATCCTGAGAAGCTCTGCTCAGTCTTGATCAAGATGTGACCTCAGCAGCATCTTCCTAACCTGGGTCCTGCTTGATTTTGGTGCCCTCATCCCAGGGTTTCCTGGATCTATTCCTGCTCAAATGTGAGGAGCACTGGCACTAAGGCTGGGCTGGCACTGCCTCCCCAGGGGAAATTCTGTGTGGAGCATCACTGCCAGGGCACCTGATCCCTTACAGAGGGAGCAGCTGGAGGATTTACAGCCAGAGAGAGCAGAGGAAAACACTTTGGTCTGGCCAGGTGGGCAGGTGGGATTGTCCCCACAAAGGCTGGCTGAGGAGTCCTTCCCTTGGACTGAGGCTCTGCTGCCTGGCCAGGAGCTCTTCCCTGCTGGGGCTCTTGCCCTCTGTCTGTGCTGGAAATTCTCTCTGCAGTGTGCCTGGATGGATCCATCTTTCCTGACTGGCAGCTGCACCAGTGCAGAGTGTCCCTAGGGGATTTCTGAGGTGAGGTTTTAGCACCCCCACCTCAGTTTTCAGTGAGGAATGATGTGTCCTAACACCTGGTGTTGGGTTCAAACATGGTGTTGGAGGTGGTGCCAGGTATCCCACATGGATACACAGCTCCAAGCTGGATTGTTAGAGGAAGAGATGCAGAATTCCCAGTCAGCAGCCTCTGGAAAAGCCCCTAAAAACTGGCCAAAGGCAAGTTCAAATACCTTTATGAGGGTACCAGTGGCACCATGTCTGTCTCCTGTCTTGGAGGAGCCACGGGCCAGCTCTGGGATGGGATGAACAGGGGTCTGTCTGTCTGTCTGTCTGTCTGTTTGTCCCCCATGGCAGTGCTTTGGTTTAACCTGGGCTTGTTCAGCTCACACAAAACTCTTCCCCCTTGGACCAGAGTGAACACAGCCCTCCACAAATCCAACAGTGTGTTTCAGTTTGGACAAATCCCTGCTCTGCTTTGTGGGGTGTCACACGGATCCCTGGGAATGCCATGCTTGGGAGCCAGGGAGAGGTGAGGCATTTTGTCTGCACAGGCTTGGCAGCTCTCAAGAACCATTTTGAGGGGTGCAGGGCCACGGAGCAGAGGTGGGATGGATGAGGAGGTGGGTTTTAATCTGTGCATAGCTGGAGGTTGCTGTGTCCTGCATTCCCAGGGGGCTTTAAGAGCCCTGGAGATGAGGAGGGAGGGGGCTGGAGCCTGGGCAAGGCAGGGCTGCTGGGTGTTTTCCAGGCCTGCCCTGGCTGGGAAGGGCCTGGGAGGGTTTTTGCTGCTCCTGGCACAGCTGCAGAGGCCTTGGCTGGTCAGACTGTGACTCAGGATCAGGACAGTGGGATACAGAGTGAGGATTGTTCTGCTGCTGGCATGGGATTTGGGAGCACAAATGAAGCACTTAAAAGTTAATGGTTTGGATGGAGACTAAAGAAATGCATTGCTGGATATCAGCTTCTGACCAAAGGCTGACTGGGGGTGAGGAGGGGAGGTGTGTTTTGCATTTGAGATCCTTTTGGAGCTCCAAAGCCTTGCTGACCCCCACATTACCATCCAGTCATGCAGAAGGAGAGGGGTTTGTTGTCCTTTTGCTCTTCTGTGTGGGGCTGGGTGTTTCACCCCACTTTTAATACCTTTTCACACATTAGTGAGCTCATACCTTTGATTTAAAAAGCAGTGTTGCAGCAGCTTTCCTGGGTGTTGGAGACCATTCCCTTCTGGGAGCTCCAGCAGACCCAGCTGGTGCCAGGAACTCCTCAGGGAGAGCTCAGGGGCTTTGAGGTGCTGCTTTGGACTGGGATTGGCAGGGACTTGGTACTCCATTGGCTTTGGGGTTACATCTGAGGAAGAATTTCTTGTCTGTGAGGGTGGTGAGGCCTTGGACAGGTTGTCCAGAGAATCTGTGGCTGCCCCACCTCTGGAAGTGTCCAGGGCCAGGCTGAGCAGGGCTTGGAACAACCTGGGATAGAGGAAGGTGTCCCTGCCATGGCAGGGGTGGAACAGGATGGGCTTTAAGGTCCTTCCAACCCAAACCATTCTGGGATTCTGGGACCTCCAGAACCAGTCTGGGGTTCTGTGGAGCTGGATTTCATCTCCCTCTAGTGTCCCAGCTCATTTCAGGAGAGCCAGGCTCAGGCAGTTGGACAGTCCAGCCAGGGATTTTAGAAATAAGCCCAAACTGGATTTCAAGCTTGAGGAAAGGAAAGCTGGCAGTGGAGCAGGGGGGCTGCCAGTGCCAAGACTTGGATTTTGGAAAGGGGTCTGTGGGGACCCTTCCTAATGGGGAAGAGAAGCTGAGCTGCTCCTCTGGCATGATCCTTATCTGGGCTGCTCAGAGCTCCTTTGAGACCTTTATAACTTCAGGACCAATAACTTTGTGCTCCAAACACAGAGTGAGACCTTGCCCAAACTCCCACCTGCCCAGAGGTGCCAGGAGGAGCAAAAGTCAGTGGTTACAGAGATCAGTGCTTTGCTGTCCCAAATCCCAAGACCTTGGAGCCCTTCAGGAATGACTGAAAACTTCCTGTGAGCAGTGAAGGGACCAGGATGAGTCCTGATGGACCAGGCTGAACATCTACTTGCATAAGATCAGCACTCTGAGCACAGGGAACAAGGATGACCCAGCACCTAAACTGGGGTGTCTTGGGGTCCCCCATGCTGGGGGAGCAGCACAATGTGTAGAAGCTTTGAGTTTTCACCATGTGCCTGGGTTGTTCCATTCCTTTTGTGGAGCAGAATTCCATCTTTTTCTGGCTTGAGACCAGATGGTTCCTTCCTCCTTGGAAGTAGCAGGATGAGAGATGAGCTGGAGCTGGCCATGCCATCCCCTCCTGCTCCTTGCTTCCAGCATGGGCCTTATCCCAAACAGCAGCACAAGGAGCACTCTGGGAGTAGCTGTGCATTTAGTTGTGAGTCCTGGTTTGGTTTTAACTTGGGATTTGTCCATGTTCAGATCACCAGTTTGGAAACAGAGTTGTTTGAGGTGCAGAAGAGCAAAAGCGAGATGAATGGGAACGAGCTGGTGACATCTGGAACTCAGGAGATGCAGGAGGTGAGAGCTTTTCCTTGGGAAATGAACTGTTCTGTTTAGAAATGTTTTAAATGAGCATCTTAAATGAGCATCTGAAGTGTCCCTTTCCTGGGGATTCTTTATCTCCCTCTCCTGAGGATTTGTAGCTCCTCAGCTCGTGCAGATGGATGGATCATTGGGGGAAATCAGCCCACATGATCTCCATGAAAACTCTCCCCTTAGGAAGCTGTCTTGCCTTCAGCTCTGCCAGCTGAGGAGTTTGTTCTCTCCCCATGAGTGTGAAGTTTCTGTCTGTGTGAAGGTGCTCAATTCTTATTTAGGGTTTAGTGAAACCAGGGGACGTGTAGGTACACTTAAAGCTGATTCCCATCAGGTTCTGGGTTAACTTTCCTGTCCATTTGTTCCTTGCCAGCCCAACAATTGCACCTGCCTGGTGTGTCAGGCAGCCAGAGATGGGAGAGGAGCTTCCCAAGGTGTTTTGGGTCAGTGGAGGCTCTGTGAGCCCTGGATAAGAGGTGCAGGAGTTCCACTGGAAACATTTGAGAGCCGTTTTTCTCCTCTCCTTGTTTCCTAGAAGACACATATCCTGCAATCTGCTTCTCTGTGAGTAGAGAAAACAATATTGAGGGGGTGACTCTGAACTTTTCTTGTTCCAGATGCTGGAAAGCTGTCAGGAAACGATAGACAAGTTGGGAAGTCAGCTGGGAGAGAGGAGAGAACGGAGAAAGCAGCTGGCCTCTGAGCTGGAGCTGCTGCGGGAAGATCTGAAGGCTGAGAAGGTGGTTCTGGGCAGCCAGGTATGTCCAGCCCCTGCTGGGACTCACTGCAGGAGCCAGCTGCCTTTGGGTGCCCCATGAAGCATCCCCAGGTGCTCCCCAAACTCATTGCCTGGCATCTCTTGATGCATTTCTGCAGCCCAGCCACTTTCAAACCTTTGGGGGAGGGTTTTCAATCCAGCTGCTCTCATGGCATCATCTCTAACTCCAGAACTTACTTTCCTTTCAGTGAATCTAATACCAAATCCAACTTTGATTGGATTGAATTGGATTGAATCCAACTACAAATCCTCAAGTAATTCCAATTTTGTAGTCAAACCCTGATTCTCCAGAGGGCAGTGGGAGTTTTCAGACTCAGGCATTAATTTCAGGACTCGAACACCCCAGAGGAAAATGAACATCCTGCTGGGATCCCAGCACAATAAATTATTAAAACATCAAAAAAAAAAAGCAAAGTACTAGCAACTCTTCCTTAAAGTAAGGATCTAGTAAGAGATACCAGAAAACACATTTAAAAATTTTTCAAAGTGTATGTATTTATATATATTCAGATAAAAATATCATAGAATCATAGAATTGTTTGTGTTGGAAGGGACACTAAAGATCACTTAGTTCCAAACCCCTGCTCTAGTCAGGGACACCTTCCACTAGATCAGGTTGCTCAGACCCCCATCCACCCTGGCTTGAACACTTCCAAAGATGGGGATTTCCCCAAGGGCCTTGGCACACTTGGCTTGAGCCAATTTAGATGCTAAATCAGCTTCTGGGGGTTTCCCTGCTGGGAATGTTGCTGGAACTCCTGTATTCCAGCTGAGCCACAGAGGAGAGACAGTGAGTGGTGCCAGCAAAATTGTCCAAGGGCTGCCAGGACAAGCACTGAAAATTAAGTAAAAATTTAGGAGTTTGACAGATCTGTGGACAAAGGGACCTGGCAATGGGGGGCACAGCCACGACAAATCCCATTTTTTATCACTCTGAGAGGCCTTAGATCAGTTTGTGAGTGCTGTCACTTCCTTGAATCCAAGTGAAAATCCATGGAAGTCCTGAGCTGTTGGCAGAACTCCACAGACTCAGGCGCTGCTGGAGGAACAGTGGCATCTAGAGGCCAGGGCTGCAACAAATCCACACTGAAACTCGGGATCAAAGCTCGGGGTGAAAACAGCCTGGCTGGGGGGAAGAGGCTGGGTCAGTCTGTCCATACACACGTGGAAAGGGATTGTCTGATCTGGGGAATGGTGGGCAAAATGGGAAGAGTCCTTTTTGAGCCCTTGCCTCCCAGTAGTTCAGCCTACTCATGATCCAGGGATCTTTGAATCCAAATCATCCATCCCTGAAGGTCTGGCTGGAATTCAGCCACCCACTGGCCTGTGGTCTCCCTGAAGGAGGGACTGTTTTCTCATCAAAGGGATCAGGAGGAGATGGAATCCTGAGCCTTGTGTTAGACTGGAACAGCCTTTAGCATAGAGACCTTTGCATGTATTTGGTGAATTCCTGCCTTCCCACATGGGCTCATTCCCTTTGGATGCAGCAGCTGTTCTGCAATGAATCATTTCCCAGCAGTGCTGGAAACAAGATTTGCATGAAATCATTGGGTTCTGTCACCTGGAAATCTCTCCTTGTTTTTAAGAGATTTTTGGACAATTAAGAGGAGAAATCTTTCCTGAGCTTGTCCTTTGGGGTGTGTTCCATCCACTGACTCTGTTGTTACCTCTCCAGGGTTTGCCTGACTCCCACTCAGAGCTCACAAGCCACATAAACACCTTCCCAAGTCTCCAGAGAACATCAGCCAGCAGGGATCTTGGGGATGTGTCCCATGAGAAGCTGCACAAAGACAGTGCTGTGCTAGATCCAGAGGTGAGACATGGAAAGAATTCCCAGCTTTTGTGGTACCTGATGGAGGCAGGAGCTGCTGGGGTGTCTTGCTCTAAGATGAGCAAATTTGTCCTGGTGTAGATAAGATGCCTTACAATTGAAATACCTGGAAATACCTGGGACTGAAAGCTCGGGAAGAGCTGTTGATTAAAAAGCTTTAGCAATCAAAATTGGTGTTTAGTGAGGATCATGGTGTTTGTGTCTGAAGGATTTGGGCCCATCACAGGTGAGCAGCAGATCTGACACTGGGCAGACTCCAGCTGTGATTCAGCTGCGAGTTCCTCTGTCCTGATGCATTCCTCCTTTCCTGCCCCTTTTATTTTCTTGGCATCTTCTCCTCAAGTCTCACGTTCAGGGTGTGCTGTTACCTGGTGTTACAGGGTGAGGTGAGTGGGAAGCCATCCCTAGGGAGGTGTTTGGGGTAGAGTTGGAGCTCCTCTGTGAGAGCCACCTGAACTCACACTTTGTGCCCCTCCTGGTTTGCCAGGAGCTGCTGCTTTTGTGAAGAGCTTTGGCATGTGCTGTAAATCCCTGGGAGCTGCAGTTGTGATTTGATGAAATCAAATAAAGAACCGTGGCTTGGTGGTAGTTGAGACACAGCTACTTTCCATGCAGGAAAAAGGACTCACATGTGTCTTTGAGGGGGAAGAACTGCAATGATTTAGCCACAGAATCACAAGCCATGTCTTGCTGGAGACCCCAGATTGCCCTGTTTGGCTCCAAAGGTTTCCATCAGGGCAAAGGAAATCCAAGTCGTGGTGTTTTCTGACCTTACAGGCCTCTGAAGTCCTGCAAGACAGAGAACAGAGACCCAAAGTGGAGCAGAAACAGGAAGATCCCTGTGCAGAGGCAAAGACCTATGAGGAACAGATGGCTAAAGTAGTGTTTTTGGAAGAACAGATCAAAAACCTGAGGGAAGAACAAGAACGCCTCTGGTAAACCTTAACAAAGCCTGTGGTATTTTCTGCTCCTTGTCTTTGCTGAATTAAGTTTTGAGCCTTTTCCAACTTCCCACGGGGCTGCTTCTGGCAAAAAAGGGCCTGGCATCTTCATGTTGTCCTTGGGTCAGCATCTCTGATTTTGGTGACTTTCCTTAGTCAGGATCAGCCAGGATTAAAGATTTTTTCTGCAGCTCTTCCAGATTCTGAGCAGCCTAAATGGGAACTGTCCTTAGGGAGGAGGATTCTTCCCTTGAAGTTGGACTAAGGGGGTCTCAAAAATCTCCTGTTGTGGGTTTGGGCTCCCCAGGGCTCACTGCTGGCAGCAGCTGGTAGTCCTAATCCCACTGCAGATATGGGTAGTCCTTGGAATTTGGGTGTCTTTGGAGGGGAGGGGTCAGCAGGTGTTGCCCTTTCGAGTAGAGCAGGACAAATTTGGAGCTGGAGCATCTGGGCTCAGGTGCTCACCTGTCCTTAGTAACTAAAAGCTTGGATTAAATCCAGTATGGTTGCAGTGACCTGTGTTACTGGTCCTGGCATAAAGTACAACCAGGAGAAGGCAGTAGGGAGCTGCTAAGGAATCATGGAATCATTCAGGCTGGAAAAATCCCTCCAGATCATTGAGTCCAACTGTTCCCCAACACTGCCATGTTCACTCTTAACACGTGTCCCCAAGTGCCACATCCACAGGTGTTTTGAACACTTCCAGGGATGGTGATTCCAGCCTGGACACCTGTGCCAGTGCCTGGACATCCAGGACATAGACTCACAGAATTTCAGACTGTTCTGGGGAGGAAGGGATCTCCAAGTTCATCATGGGCAGGGACAGCTTCCACTATCCCAGGTTGCTCCAAGCCCCATCCCACCTGCCCTTGGACACTTCCAGGGGTGGAGGAGCCACAGCTTTGATCTTGGATGGAGAAAATGGAGATGGAGTTTGGGTGAAGATCAGTCAGGCAGCTGGACTGGGACACCTAAGCCCCTGTTCCAGTGCTTCCCTGTGACTTTGAGTCCAGAGCAGCTCCTGTGCCTTTGTGAGGGCTCTTTAGCCAGCCTGTAACCTCTTCCTGGGGGAGCTGAGCCTTTGGACACACGTGCTTTTGTGGGAAGTGTCCCAGGGAGACTGACCCTTGCCCAGAACTGCTGCACGCAGGGTTGAATCCCCTTTGGAGCCTCCTGAAGCGCTTGAGTGTTTCACTGGACTATAATCTCCCAAGTTTTTCCCCTTTAAGGGCGTTTTCCCTGGATTTGTGTAGTTATCTCTCTCCTTTACTATTTCTCCTTCAAGCTCTGAATTGCTAGAGAGCAACAAGAAGAAGGAGGAGCTGGAGAAGCAGCTCAAGGAGAGCAGTGAAGAGAAACGTCTGTTGCTTGAAGAAATTGCCCAGCTCAGGTGTGACATCCGGAGTGCCTGGGAGCAGGGCCCCAGTGGAGACACCAGGAGGATGACCCCAGGCTTGGAGCAGAGGGAGAACAGGTTTCTCCCGTGGCAGAGCTCGGCAGGCAGTTTAGAGGGGAGCCTCAAACAGGTATGGGCAGCTTTGCCATCTGCATCCTGCTTTTTGTCATTAATTGAGTGGCTAAATGTAATTGAAGTGGGCTGGAAGTCAGCCCTGTGGTGCGAGTGGTGGTTGGAAATTAGGGATGTGTTCATTTCCTTGAGTTGTGCTTTTGGATGTGGTGGGGATTTGGATAAACTGAACTGATTGCACATGGCAGAAATAAGTTATTTAAATGGAATTTGTTAATCTTTCTCACCTTGCGAGCTGAAAGAGAAAGGGAGGTGCAGGTGTCCCTGCGAAACAGGGAGGAAATGATGGAAGAACTCGGGATGGGGAGACTGAGGAGGAGCTCAGCTTCTGTGCAAAGATTTGGGAAAGAAAAGAGGACAGGGTGGTCTGTATGAGAAGCAGAGGGTTGGAGTCCAGTTGTATCCAAGAAGCAGCAGATCATCCAGGTGGAGCAGAGCAGGACACAGGGAGTGCAGTGGATGTGGGAAGGGATCCTGATAGAAGCAGGAGGGGAAAACCCCACAAAACCAATGGAGCCAATGGACCTCCAGGATGACTGACACTGCCAGATCCCACAGTGCTGGATCAAGGCTTTTCCCAGCTTGGGAAAGGTACCTGGGGATTATCTGAGAAGGCAGATTTGGTGTTCAGTGAATTCCATCTGGTTCCAAGAGCAGAGGGGGAAGATGCAAAGTGGGAATGCAGATCATGAGATGGCTGACAGTGATGCTGGAAGGAAAGGCTTTGGTGCAGCCCAGGCTTTGGTGTGTGTGCTGGGAAGGTGAGTGAGCTGAGGAGATCAGTTACCTCCCAAGAGCCACTGCAGACTGTCAGTGACACCTCCCAGTGTCCAGGCTGTGTCCTGCTGTGCTCCTGTCCTGCTGCCAGGACTCAACTTTCTCCTGCTCCTGATCCCTCTGGGAGCTGGGCTGGCTGTGTCACTCCTGCCTGAGTGAGACTCTGGTGCAAGAATGCAAAGTGGCTTTGCTTTGATTGGACAGACTTGTTTCAACAGGGATTTGTTCCCTCATCCAGGTTCTCACCTCTTCCCCCTCAGCCTCAGGAGCTGTGTTGGCTTCTCTGAGGTGATGGAGAGAATCATTGAATCAGTGAGCTTGGAAAAGGCCTCTGAGATCATCAAATCCAGCTATTAACCCAGCAATGCATGCTCACAACAAACCATGTCCCCAGGTGCCACATCCACAAGGCTCTTAAAGCCCTGCAGGGACAGAGAAGGGGCCAGGACATGGTGTGGGGACAGAGAAATGCCAGGACATGGTGTGGGGACAGAAATGCGAGGACATGGTGTGGGGACAGAGAAATGCCAGGCTTTATGCATCTTCCTGCACAATGCCCTTAAATCCTACTGCCTTCTGCCTTCCTTAATCACCTTTATCCTGCCTTAAAGTTAATTTCTGTGTCACCTGTGCTGTTCTGCAGGGTCTGTCAGAGGAGAGGTTCCAGCAGCAGGAGGAGAAGCTGCAGCAGCTGCGCCAGGACCTGCGGCGGGTGCAGAACCTGTGCAGCTCTGCTGAGAGGGAGCTCAGGTATGAGAGGGAGAAGAACGCCGACCTGCAGAGGCAAAATCTGCTGCTCCAGCAGGAATGCACCAAGGTAGGGACAGAGCCAGGCTGCCCAGTGTGCTCTGCCTCAGCTCCATGGGGGTTGTGGCCATGAGGGCTGGAGCCCATCTCCCCCAGGCTGGCAGAGCTGGGAGTGCTCACCTGGAGAAGAGAAGGCTCCAGAGAGACCTCAGAGCCCCTTGCAGGGCCTAAAGGGCTCCAGGAGAGCTGGAGAGGATTTTGGACAAGGATGGAGGGACAGGAGAAGGGGAAATGGCTTCCCACTGCCAGAGGGCAGCGTTACACTATTGGGAGGAAATCCTTCCCTGTGAGGGTGGGCAGGCCTTGGCATAGGGTGCCCAGAGCAGCTGTAGCTGCCTCAGAAATGTTCCTGGCCAGGCTGGATGGGGCTTGGAGCAACGTGGGATAGTGGAAGGTGTCCCTGCCCATGATGGGGGTTTGGAACCAAGTGATCCTTAAGGCCCCTTCCTACCAAAAGTGCTCTGGGATTCTGTGACAAATTTCACTGCATCCAAACAAAACATGCTTTACTTCCTCTGTGGTTCCTCTTTCTAAAATCCTGTCCCCCTTCCCTAGCCAAGCCATTCCAGCTGATTTGTGCTGAAGTATAAATCTGATTTCTCCTCTGGGATCTCAGGTCAAAGCTGAGCTGAAGCAGGCCCGGGCCAAGCTCTCGGACACCACAGAAACGTGTTCCTCCCTCTCAGCACAGTGGGACAGGAGCCAGCAGAGGGTCAAGGAGCTGGAGCTGGAGCTCTCCAAGTGCTCCCAGGCTGATAAGCTCAGGAGCAGCCTCCAGGAGAGGCTGGCCCAGGAGAAATCCAGAGCAGGAGAAGCACAAAAGAAGGTGAGTGTAAGCTGGGATGTGTTTGACAGTTCTGTGCAGCTCTAGTGCAGAAAGCAAGCAGGTTTGCTTCCCCAAATTCCTTTTTGTGATCCTTTGGCTTAATATTGTAGGATAAAAAGCCTGTAATTAGCAGGAGCATAATCAAGGCAATAGAAGCCATGTCTGATAACCCAATATTTCTGAAATACTGATAGTGGGGCTGACAGGCACAGGAACAATCTTTTTCTTGCTGAGAAGATTTCCTACTATTTACTGGCTGGAAAATTCCAAAACCTTGTGTTTTCCATGGCACTGATTCTGCCATGCTCCTGCAGAAATCATTGGATTTCTCCAATGATTGGAATCTCTTTGATGTGAGCAGGATCAGATTGGGTTGAAAAAAGATTGTTGGGATTTCATGACATAGTGTTTGGTCCAAAATCTGGCAGCCAGTCCAGAGCTTTTGCTTTTAATGGACTTAGAGCCAAAACAAGGAAATCTTTCCTTCCCATGCCTCAGACACTGGGGAATCAGAGGGATCTGATTCAGACACTGGTCTGTACATTCAGAAAATGTAATCTATGTCCATTTTAATCCAAGGTCTCAAAGCTCCAGCAAAAGCTGAAGGATTCCCAGCACCAGCTGCTGCTGGCAGAGGCCCGTGTTTCTGATAAGAAGCTCCTGGAGGAGGAGCTGAAGGAGGCTCGGGAAAATGAAGCTCGAGTGCAGCAGGAACTTCATGAGGAGCAGCTGAAAAGGTCTCTGTGCTGTGCAGGGGCTGTGCCAGCCCTCCAGCAGCTCCTGTCTGCCCTGGGAGGGTTCAGGGAGACCCAAACCACTGCTTTGACCTCCTGTCTTCCCTTTGGACCTGCCTTATCCCTGGAGTTCTCCAGGGGTTCCCCCTTCCTGAGATTTAAAAAGATTATTAGAAGCTTCATCTGCCTTGGAAGGGCCGTGGCCTCTCCTGTCAGTGCAGTGATGCCAGCAGCCCCTTCCCTGTGCAGCTGGGAATGATCCCAGTGTGTCATCCCCCCTTTCTGTGTCACTGGGACGTGGCACACCCGGGACGTGCTGATTCCTCTGTCCCCTCCATGTCAGCCAGGGCAAGAGCAGCAAGGGGGTGTTTGGGGTGACAGACAGACACCCGGGGGCAGGAGGCACGTCCAGCTCTCACAGTGAGCTGTGGTGTTCCAGGAGGCTCCTGGAGCAGCAGGTGGAGGAGCTGAGGCAGCAGCTCCGGCATTCCCGGGAGGCGGAGGCGTCGCTGGCCAGGATGCACGTGGAGCTGCAGGCCAGGAGCCTGCACGTCCTGCAGGACGACAAGAAGCTGGATGCTGGTGAGGTGAGTGACAGTCAGGGGGTTCCTCATCATACAAGGGGCAACAGCACCTTCAGGAGCTGGGATCTGCTCCTGGAGCTGCTGGCATGGGGAACATCTGATCAGGGGCTGAGCCCCTGCAGATCTCACTGATTTCACAGGAGCTGGAGGAAAAGCAGTGTCCCATTGCCAGCTGCTTTCCTGGGATGCACCTCTGAGGGCACAGGTGGTTTCTTCCTTCCATTTATCTCGCAGAACTTGGAGTTTTTGCTTGGAAATTTTGTCCAAGTCCATTGTCTGGTTGGGTTCATTGCCTCTCTCTGCAATAAAATCCCACTGCTTGCTAGGGGGAGAAGGGAGAGGTCTGGCTGGATATTGGCTGTAGTGGGAACCACTGGGATTGGTGAGAGAGAAGCTTTGGAGACCAGGCAGATGGGAGGCAGAGGGGCCTCTCCAGCTGGGGCCACACACACACAAGGTAAAAGCAGCCCTTTTCCAGCATGTGCAGTGCCAGAAGGAGAATGAGAAGCTCTCGGAGCAGCTGGCACTGCTGAAGGAGGAGAACAAGGCCCTGTATGAGGAAGGAGTTCGACTCCTGAACCAGAAGGATCTCTATGTCAGGTAATGCCCAAAAACCTGCCTGGGTTTGCTATTGGATTTGGCTGTGGTGTGGGTTTTCCTGTCCAATATTCAGGCTTTTAGCACTAAATCTACTGACCCTGTGTGCAGGGAGCTCACTCCCCATGTCTGCTGTCAGGGAATTCCAGACATGTTTGAGTGGAAGGGACCTTACAGCCCATCCTGTTCCACCCCGTGCCATGGGCAGGGACACCTTCCACTGTCCCAGGCTGCTCCAAGCCTGGCCTGGGACACTCCCAGGGATCCAGGGGGAGCCACAGCTGCTCTGGGCCTCTGTGCCAGGGCTGCTCACCCTCACAGGGAAGGATTTCTTTCCAGTGTCCCATCTGACCCTGCCCTCTGGCAGGGAGAAGCCATTTCTCTTTGTCCTGGTACTCCAGGTCCTTGTCCCCAGTCCCTCCCCAGCTCTTCTGGGGTCCCTTTAGGCCCTGGAAAGGGCTCTGAGGTCTCCCTGGAGCCTTCTCTTCTCCAGGTGAGCACTCCCAGCTCTGCCAGCCCTCCTGCTCTGCTTGGTGGCTGCAGGCAGCACAGGAGGGTGGTTTGGGTGTTGGTTTGGGTCTGGTGTCAGCAAAGACTCTCCCTGGAGCTGCTTCTTTCTCCCCAGAGCCCTTTTGGTTAATTTGAAGCAGAGTAGCTTTTTTATTATTAATTTTGAGCAAATATGGGCAAATATCCCTTATATGATAGAAATTTCTCTTCTTTTTTTGGTATTATTTTCCCTTCTATCCCAACTGGATAAAAATAAACAAGAACTTTGCCCAAATTGACAAGAGGGGAAGAGCAAAAAACAGAAGTGTCAGGAGGGAAAAATATTTGTCCCCAGTGTCCTAACTCAAAGAAACTCCTACTGAAGTGTCTCTTCTTGCTCCTCTTGACCTGTCCACTGCTGTTTTGAATTCTTAATTTTCCAACCAATGTGTGGATGTGGCACTTGGGGACATGGTTAGTGGGTAGCCCTGGCTGTGCTGGAGGAATGGTGGGACTTGGTGATCTTAGAGGATTTTCCTAAATTTTCTTCCCATTCAAAAGTCATTCCCTTAACCATCCACATCCCCACCAACAAAACCAACTTATTTTTGCCTTGGAACTTCAGTTTTGATGCCCTTATAATCCTGTTTGTTTTAAAGAGCTGGGAGGGAGGAGCACAAGGATTTGTAAAGCTGGGAGTCACTTTTGGAAATGCTTTGGGTTCTTTTCCTGTATCAACTTCCATTTGGTTGACACTTAAATTTTCCAACACAAACCCCCCAAAGTGATCAGTGAAAGCATCCAGCCAGTCCATGTGCTCATTCTGGGCAGGAGGAGAAGCCGGGGGATGGCTGAGGCTCCGAGTTTGGGCTTTGAGGAGCCTGAATAAACCCAGGACATTCTTGCCTGGGTGGTGAGCCCGAGCAAAGGTGCCTTTCACAGCCTGCTGGCTGTCCCTGTTTCCCAGGAAATACAACGAGATGCAGCTCAGGCACAAGGACAAGATCCGCAGGGCCAAGGAGACTTTCATCCACGAGGTGAAACAGAGGGACAGCAGGATCAAACAGCTGGAGAATGAGCTCAGCGAGTCGAAACTCCAGGTGGAAAAGGTGAGAGGACACATGCAGGGCTTGTCCTGCAAGGGGAGGCTGCAGGGGCTTCACTGCTCCCAAAGTGTTCCCTGGAGGCCAGGAAGGCCAGTGGGGTCCTGGCCTGTGTCAGGAACAGTGTGGCCAGCAGGAGCAGGGAGGGCATTCTGCCCTGTGCTGGGCACCTTGAGTGCTGTGTCCAGTTGTGGCCCCTCAGTTTGGGAAGGACATTGAGATGCTTGAGCATGTCCAGAGGGAGCAACAAGGCTGGAGAGGGGCTGGGAACACAAACCTTGTGAGGAACACCTGAGGGAGCTGGGGGTGCTCAGCCTGGAGAAAAGGAGACTCAGGGGTGCCCTCATCACTCTGCACAGCTCCTGAAAGGTGCCTGTGCTCAGCTGGGGCTGGGCTCTTTCTCCAGGCAGCACTGACAGAACCACAGGACACAGCCTTAAGCTGCACCAAGGGAAATTTAGATTGGATATTAGGCAAAGCTTTTTACAGAAAGAGTGATAAAGTACTGGCATGGCTGCCCAGGGAGGTGGTGCAGTCACCATCCCTGAAGGTTTAACAAAGCCTGGATGTGGCACTGGGTGCCAGGGTTTAGGTGAGGTGTTGGGGCTGGGCTGGACTTGATGATTTTAAGGTCTCTTCTAACCTGATGATTCTGTGATTTGGTGATTCTGTGAAAGTGATCATGGATTCAGGGAATGGTGTAAGTTGGAAAGAACATTAAAGCTCATCTCATCCCACCCCTGTCATGGGCAGGGACACCTTTCACTGTCCCAGGCTGCTCCAAGCCCTGCCCAGCCTGGCCTTGGGCACTCCCAGGGATCCAGGGGCAGCCACAGCTGCTCTGGGCATCCTGTGCCAGGGCCTGCCCACCCTCCCAGGGAACAATTCCTTCCCAATATCCCATCTAATGCTGCCCCTGGCAGGGAGAAGCCATCCCCCTTGTTCTGGCACTCCAGGCCCTTGTCCAAAGTCCCTCCTGGCAGGAAGGGACCAGGGGCACCAACCTGTCCTAACAAACTGCCAAAAGGAAATTCCTGGCTCAGGATTGACACTGGCTGGGCTCCATGTTCCTTTGCCTCAGCAATTCCTGCTGGGAAGTGACCCCAGAGCCTCTTTTTGGGGTATTTTACATCAAACAGGGAATTGCATTGCAGAGTCATTGAGGTTGGAGAAGAACTTTAAGGTGAGGCTCTTCAGCAAGTGCAGCCATCCCCCACCACCACTAAACCATGTCCCCAGGTGCCACATCCACGTGGCTCTTGAGCACTTGCAGGCTGGTGACTCCAAGCTTTTAGGAGCTGGCACCCTTGGTGGTGGTCCCTTGGGAAAGCGCCGAGGTTTGCAGAGGACAGGGAAGTGTGGTTGTGTTTGAGGGTCCCAGGACGAGGGAGACATGAGAGTCTTGACTTCATGTTTCAGAAGGCTGATTTATTATATTATGATATTATATTACATTAAAAATGCTATACTAAAACTATATTAAAAAGAACAGAAAGAAAGGATCCATCAGAAATCTGGAAAGAATGGAATGAATAACAAAAACCCGTGACTCTCAGAAAGTCCAACACAGCTGGACCATGACTGGTCATGTGGAAACAACTCACATGGACCAATCAAAGATGCACCTGTTGGTAAACAACCTCCAGACCACATTCCACAGCCATCAGATTGTTATTGTTTACATTTCTTTTCTGAGGCTTCTCAGCTAGAATAGGAGAAAAATCCTAGCAAAGGATTTTCATAAAAATATCGTGATGACACGGAATAGTCAAGAGTAACTGGTGATTGTTCTTTCCTTCTCCACCACCCTAAGGGGAAGGTGCTGATTGCCCAGATCACTGCTGAGAATGAGAAATTACTCCAGGAGAGGCGACGGCTCCTCCAAAAAATATCAGACCAGGAGGAGTCCCCTTGGAGCCTCCGGTCTGGGATTCCCTCCCTGCAGAGCAGGTAGGCCCCTGCTGATGTCCATCCCCTGGGATTCTCCCTTTTCCTGCTTTTGTGCCTCTTTCTCTTAAGAATTCCAGAGGAAAGTCTGGACTGTGGCCCAGCCACTGGTGCAGTGGCTTTCATGGCTGCAGTTAGGGATGTAATTATCCCCTTTTCCCATCCAAGACCTCACCACTGAGCTGCAGGCTGTGCAGAGCAACAGCTCTGAGGTTGGAAAAGAAAATTCCCACTTGAAAATGGAGCATGGCTGGAAGGAAAATAACTTGTGCTTTGTGCCACGTGCAGAGGGAGGATCCTGGAGGAGGAGAGTGCCCGGCTGCAGGACAAGCTGCAGCTCTCCAGCCACGTGGGCTCCTCCCAGCGCCTTGCCAGGAGCAGCCCCACTCCCAGCACAGAGGTGAGAGCCCAGCAGGAGTCACAGAACCTGGTGTCTGAGGGGCTGAGGAGGAGCTGCATCCATCCCTTGAGATGGAAGGGGCTCCCATGTAGGAGGTGGGGACAGATGTGGTGAGGAGGGGCTTTGTGAGGAGCTGAAGGCTCTGTGAACTCAGCCCCTGCTCATCCCTGAGCTGCTGCCCGTGGGATCCCCTTCCATGGACAGGAATCTCACTTTTAGAGCTGTTCAAAGGCCTCAGTTGTAAAGCTGGCTCTAGGAAAGGAGATCCAGCCCTGTGTGTGAGACTGGGAATGCTCCTCCTGCCAGGAGGAATGTTCCCTCCTCAGGCCAAGCTGGGTGATAATTCCTGAGCTGAGTGAAAGCTGGCCGTGGTAATGAAGAACTTTGGCAGGAGAAATGGAGAAAATCCAGGAAATCAGAGTGTTTTCAAATCACCCAGGTGGATTTGGGAGTTTATTGGGACTTGTAATTTCGAGAGAACCCAGGTAGGTTGGAAATGAGCTGCTGAGGGGGGAAGGGCTGGTTGGGGCTCACCTGGCCTTGATGGGGCTTGGTTTGGATTTTTTAGCATAAATTTACAGCCAAAGGACAACCAAATCTCTGCTTAGCTGCAGCTGGACTCTCAGTGAGGCTGGGGGAGAGCTTGGAAGACCAGGAATTGTTGGAATTCAGGGTGTGACCTGTACCTCCTCCTTTCAAAGTCTCTGTTCCTCCTTGCAGGACTCCAAGATGGTTCCTGGCTCTGAACGCCCACCACAGAGTAGGGGGTTGCCACCTCCTCGTGCCAGGTACCGTGGGGTGGGGGGAGCCAGGGAGGAGCCCCTGAGCATTTTGGCTGCTCCACCCTGAGCTTTCACCTCCCAAAGGCCTTTTTTTTTGTTAGCTTTTGATCAAATTTTAGGGAAAATAGTATTAAAATGGCATGAAAATGGTATTGAAGCCTGTCAGCTGATGGGATGGAGAAGTCCAGTTTTCAGAATATTTTGGGGAGCACTGTGGGATTGAAGAATCTTGGTGCTCAGGAAGGAGTCTTTATACAAGAGACTTGGAGTGCTGGTATGGCCAGAGCTGTGTCCCACGTCACTCTGGGATGTGTTGCTCTGTTCCAATCCGTGCCAAACCAGATGAGGGGGAGGCAGAGGGACCCTGCAGCCCTGGAGATGCAGCTCTGGGGCTTTGGTCACAGCCCCAGGCACTGCTGGGGTGGAGGATGGTCCAAGCAGGCTCTGGGCTGGCTCAGGGTGTCCCTGGGAGGAGGAGCCTTGGTCCAAGAGAAGAGCATCAGCATCGTTCTGTGCTGCTCAGAGGTGTTGGGTAAGGGTCACTCAGACTCCACAGGATGACAGAAAATGGAAATTTATTTCCAGCTTCCCACCCCGAGATCTCCCAGAGGCCCTGAAGGCCCTGCAGAGCACCAAGCCTGAGGGAGAGGCTGAGAGCCAGGATCCTTCCTTGTGCCTGTCCCCCTCACAGCCTTCAGAGATCGGCTACCTGAACGTGGCCTCTCCTGGGGACAGCACAGCCCCCTCTGCCTCACCTGTGCACGAGCAGAGCCACAGCCTGGGCTCGCAGAGCTGAGCTGGGAATGAGCCTGACCTCAGCTGCAGCTCCTGGGCCATGGGGCAGCAGAGCCTGCAAAGAGAATTGCCAAATGGACTCAGATGGACTGACCCCGTGATTGCTGGGAGATATTCCCACTAAATGATTCCACAGCTTGGTGGGGTTGGTTTTTTTTTTTTTTTTTTTTTCACTTGCCCACCTGTAAATGTGTATGTGATCCCAGAGCCACTGGAGGCTGGAATCTGGAATCTGTAGATAAAATCAGTCCTGTGGTAGAGGGGTGGGGTGAAGGGTGTCTTCCCTCAGCCCTAATCCCCTGTCCAGTCCAAATCTATCAATTTTATAAATAAAACTTACAGAAGTTCCCTTTTGTCCCATGCCCACACATTGTCATTGCTCCTTTTCCACGCTCTCAGCATTCCCTTTGCTCTGTGCAGAGCTGAACAGGATATTTGAGCACTGGGGAGAGGGTGGGAGTGTGTAGGGAAGGAAGGTGGGAGGAAAGAGAAGCTCTGGGGGCAGGATGTGATGGGCAGAGGGGTCAGAAATGAGATGGAGATGGAAGGAAAGGGAAATGGAATAGGGGCAGAAGAGAGGAGGGAAATGAGCATCCAGGGAAGGAAAGGAGATACATTTGGAATAGATGGTCTCTGAGGATGCTTGGGTGAGAGTGACAGGGTCAGGCCATGCACAACAGGGAGTGGAGGGAGTCTGAGGATGCCAAGGCAGCAGGGTCAGAACTGCAGATCAGGTGGGAACAGAGCGTGGCTGTGCCTCTCATGGGCCTTTCTGTGCTCCCTGTGTGTTTGAGGGAGCTCTGGACCCCTCAGTGTGCCACCTCTACCCCCTGGCTGTCCCTTAGAGGGTATCCCAAGCTCTGGTGTCCATTTTGGGGGGTGTCCCCACCCCTTGCTCTGTTTTGTGCCATGCCCAGCCCCCAGTGCTGCCTTTGGGTGCCCCCAACCCCTGGCTGTGCCTGTCTGGGCTCCCCAGAGCCCTCCAGGAGCCCTTTGGGGTGCACAGAACCTCTCCATGGGATTTTCTGTGTCACAGAGCCCTGGCTGTGCCTGGGGGCTCCCCTGCACCCCGCAGTGTGTGTGAGCACTGCCTGGGGCAGTTGTGCACCCTCATCCCCCTGGCTGTGCCCTGGGCTGCCCCAGAGCCCCCCTGAGCCTTGGGCCACCCCAGACCCCAGGGAGGTGGCAGGAGCCCCACCACGGAGGGGCTGAGGGCTTCATCCCTGCTGGTGGGGCAGAACTGGCTCAGCCACACTCAGGGAGGTCTTAGAAGGGGCACAAACCATCAGAGACCCTGAAGGGAGCACAGACCCACTTATGGGCCTTCCACCAGAGGTCTGGACAGTGTAAAGCTCCTGACCCCAGGGAAGGTACCTGGCTGCTCCCACTGAGCCTGAGCCTGTATTAACCCCCTGAACTTTGTATTTGTGGAGCTTCCACCCCTGATGGATCCAGACTGTGACCATCACTTTGACTGTGGACACTGAAATTGCAATACCCAAGTCTTGTCACTGCATCCATGGGTGGTGAGACCTTTCCTCTCCACTCTCTACTCTGATCCTCTCTGTTTTTTTCTTTCTTTTCCTCGTGTATTTTCTAAAGTGTTATTTTTATACTTTTATATTGGTATATTTCTAAAGAAAATAATCAAAATGGCTACATAGGTGACTTCCATTGCAACCAAAGTGTTAAAATAAATGTGACGTATATATAAAATACATATGTATGTATGTGTATGTGTAAACACCAATCATTCAATGTCCTTTCATCCATTCCAAGGGATGCATTAACCCCAGAGCCTGGGTTTTCCCACCTCAGAGATGCCTTGGAGCAGCTCCATCAGTTCTCCCTCCCTCACAGCAGCTCTGTGCCCACACAGCAAGATGGACAGTGTCCCACAGCCCTGCAGTGCCTCGAGGTCTGTCCTGTAGCAAGGGGCCCAAAACAACCACAGAACTTGAGGTGGGACCTCCCCAGTGCTGGAAGCATAAACCAGGGAGGAAAATGCAGAGCTCCAGCTGTGACAGGCCCATGGTGCAGGTACAGAACCAGAGGGAAGCCCTGTGGTTTGTGTTGATGTGGCATTGAGAGGAACATGGAGAACATTGTTCTGCTTGATGCTCAACAACTGCTGCCAAGGAATGCTCTGCACACTGGGACCACAGAGAACAGGAGGTGTGACCACTATCCTACCCCAGCACTTTGCACAGTCGTGGTTAATAAATGTACCCCAATTTTGTACTTACCCAGGGGATGAGAGGAATTTGGAGGGACAGGTTGATGGGGTTGTCCCCTCCATCCCCTCCATCCTGCCCTGAAGGGATGTCCCTGGGTAAATGCCTGGGTGAGGCCGTGTTGAGTGGTTTGACACAGGAAGTGAATCTGTGGTTGTATGGCATGGCTGGGGCTCTCTGGGCTGTGCTGCAGCTTTGTTTTCCTTATGCCCAGCATGGGAATGGATCTGGTGTGGGGTGACTGGATCCCTGCAGTTGGTAACAACAGATCCAGGGAACTGGGATCAGTTAGACCCTGCTCTGGGTGAGCCCCACCAGAGCTACACTTCATGGACTCTCTGCATCCAGCACCAGCCCTGTGGCTGTCTGCAATAACCTCTTTGGTGAGAGGGGGAGAGGTTATAACCTCCTCCTGCTCTGCAGGAGCTCCTGATGAGCCCTGGGTAAAGTGAAGTGTGCTCTGACCCTGCCAGGAACTCCTGAGTACAGCAGGAGCAGCAGCTGCCTGTCCAAGGTGAGGAACAAAGGATGATCAGTCATCCCCTGACAGCCTTGGAACACTCCCTGCCTGAGTCAGAGCCTGAGTGCAACGGCACCGATGTTGCTGGAGTTTTGAAAACTATTTCCAAATGTTTCTGATAACTTGGATTCTGGCCAGGATGGAAACTTACTGATGACTGAAGCTGCTCAGGTGCCATGTTCTGTTCTGCCCTTGCCAAGACCCAGAGCCTCTGTAATCTCTCTCGTTATGACTCTTGATATCCCTAAATTCCCGATAAAATGGATGCTTCTCCCTCCTCCCCAAAGCATGGACACCCCTTAGTGAAGATTTGTGCCTCCAGATGCATCAGAGAATTCCTGGGAACATTTGTCCTGTGCAGCTTTTGTGGGTCCAGTGCATTTATCACTCTCAGTCTAACAAGAGTCTGTAACCTGCTGCTCCAATAAACTGCACTGCTGGTGAATTTCTGTTTGTGAAAGTTCCCTCTGGATGTGACCAGACCTGCCAAGTGGAGCTGGCTCCTGTCAGGAATTCAGCCCTGCTGCTCCCAGCCCTGCTGATCCCTCAGGACGAGCTGGGACACCAGGTTTGTTTTGTGCCAGATTCCCAACTGGTAACACAGCAGTTACCAGTGTAACAGCACCTGTGTAAATCAATTTCCATCCTATTTTCCAGCAGCCTCAGCAGTGGCTGTGGGAGACTCCTCGGAAGGGGCAGCCCCTCAAAATGAGGGGTGCAGCCTCCCTCCCCTGCAGGGTGAAGCCTGGGGGTGTCTGTGTGGGGCTCTGCAGCCCCGTGATGACACATGTGAGGTCACAAGGGGACATTCTGCCTCCATGGCACCACTACACCCATTTCCCTGAGAGGCAGAGACCAGCCCAGCCGTGGTGCCCCTCTGTCCCACCAGGGCTCCCCTCCTAAGGCCATGGTGGGATGGATGGCAGGAGAGAAAGAGGCCGGGCAGGAGGAGCAGCCACGACAGAGCTTTTCTCTGGCTTCTTCCTTGCACTGTCTCCGGATCTTGTGTACTTCCACAAGGATGGTAAAGCTGAGGTCCTGGCCTCCTCCTGCCCCTGGGGGTGGGAACGTGTTGGTGGCTTTGCCCAGGGAGAGGGTGCCTTTGGAGAAGGGGATCTGGCGTTAGGAAAGTGAAGGGAGGATGATGAACTTCATAACTTCAGCACGGCTCTTTCTCTTCTTCTGACAGAAATAATCAAAGTTTGGGACTGTGTGTCTGAGTGCTATCGCCAAGACCTGCTGCTGAAGAAGGTGGGGCTGGTTTCCTCATGGTCCTCCCTCAGACCATGGGGGTTTGCTGATCCTTCCCCACCCTGTCTGGCCCTCACCAGCCTAGGGGACAGAACAAGTGTCCCAGGCAGACCCTGCATTTTAGTCAGAGACCTGTTGTGAGAGCAGGCAAGAAGTCAAGCGGCGCTTGAGTAGAAAAACATTGGATTTCCTCTTTGGAGTCTTCCCAGGATATCTGGAAAGGAGGGACACCCACCTTTCCAGCCATCCTGAGCCTTTCTGCACTCCTTGGGCCTTCCCAGGCTCCAGGAGTTTCTCCCACATGTCTTGCACCCTGCAGATCCTGGAAAGGAGGGAGTGAGGAACCATTGGAGTGAAAGATTCTTCCAAAATCTTTCCTGGGGGCTCCATCTCAGGCCTTGGAGCTGCAGGGATGGAAAGGCCACAGATCACCCTTTGCCTTCCCTCCTGTTTGCCCTCTGATTTCCTGCTTTTTCTTCCAGAGAGTTGGGCTGATGGGCCTGGGTACCATCCACATTATGAAAAGACCCATCTGGCATGGAGAAGGGGAAGGTTTCATGGCCGACAGTCCGGAGTTTGATCTGAACAATCCACTTCTGGTGGGGAAGAAGCTCGTCCATGGGAAAAGCCCCGTGCCTGGTAAGATGGGCCCTTCATCCCTGTGCTCCCTTTGGACACAGATGGGTCCCTCCAGCAGCCCCTCCAGGGCTCTCTGGGTGCCCACGGTGTGCTGGCTGCTGCTGGAGAGCTCCTGGAGGTGTTTCTGAGAATCTCCTGGCACTGAAGGGACTGAGGATCTTCCACCTTGGGAAGGCAGGAACCAGCATTCCTGCTGGCTCCTGCAGCCTGAGAGGTTCTGTGGAGCTGGAGCATGGTGGTTGAGCCGGCAGTGCAGGGACTGGGGCTCATGGCACAAAAGCAGGGCATTTGCTGCTGGGTGAAGAGTCACCGTGGTGGCAGGGGGTTGGTGGGCTCTCAGGGGGCACAGAAGGGCTGAGTGAGTGACTTTGTGTTGGGTGGTTTCTCCACAGGGCTCTCCAAAGCTGACGAGCTGGTCTGTGCTGAGGTGGCCTTGCGCCTGCACAAGCCCAAGGCCACCATCGTCATGTGCATCAAGGCCACACTCAGGATCTGCGAGTGGGCATTGTCCAGTGGCCAAAACTTCGACTTTGTGTTCAGGGACATCGGTGTCCTGGTCTGCCGGGGACGCCACGTGTCCATGAGGTTCTTTGAGGGCTTGGTCCGAGACGTGGCTCAGTCGCAGCACCTGGCAGATGGTTTGCTCCAGGTGAGTCTGGCATGTATGCCATGCACCCTCAAACTCCTGGGACACAGCCATGGCC